TGTATTCAAAAGATAAAGATTTAGACTGAGGGACCTTATACCTGTCTTCTCCTTTTTTCGACGGGAGTTAATCAATTCATAAGTTTTTTGAAAGATAAATAACAATTAAAATCTTTCCATTACTAAAATATGATTTAATTTTTTTTTTCAAAGTACGTTAATTGTCTCCATGGTAAAATATATTGATATACACTCTTAACGCACTTTGAAAATTTTTTTCAAAGTGCGTTGAGTTGGTCCCAAATTTAGCGCACTTTGAAAAAATTTTTCAAAGTGCGTTGATTTTGTCCCAATTTTAACGCACTGAAAATTTTGTTCAAAGTGCGTAATTTTTTCAAAGTGCGTTGCCACAGTGCAGATATAGTGAAATCTACTGGATCCTACCTCCATGACATCATATGTGATCGGCCGAAGCCAATCACAAAAAAGGATTTCATTTTGAAGCTCTATTTTGAGATTTAATCAATTAAACAATAATTTTAAGAGTTGTCCTTCCTGGTTGAGGAGCAGATATCCTTACAGATGTGCCAATTATTCCACTTCTTCACTTACTTGAGTTGTTTACGGAAACTGAAAATTTAAGCAATGCCCCTTTAATGATGCCGAGATCAGAGATATCAAACCTTCGATTTCATCGGACAACTCGGATTAAATTGAAAAAGTAGATACATTTTAGTGTTTATACAGTGTATATATTTTTAGGGGTTGAACGTCTTTATTAACGTTCAGCTAAATTATGCAATCTTGGTAATGAATGCGCAGATAACTATGATTTTTATCTTTCATGAGACAGACGAATGTTGACATATAAATCTTTGAATCAAGTCAAATACAACTAGAACGCATAGATAATTAATATACATTAAATGACAAAGTAGAAGGATGTATATTTTTGGCCATAAAATACTATAACATTACGAGAACCATGGACCATAACGCTCACCGGCCACAAGCTCACCTGTCACCCTAGCTCTACTCTTCTATAGATTTTTTTCACAAAATTTATGTAAAACCCGATGCTTGTTGTGCCATCAACCTACTGTGTGGCAACAAGGGCCAGTAAGGAGTCATTTGTATATCACTGACATCCTGCACAGCTTAAAAAGAAAGAAAATATAGTCTACTTTTTGTCTCTCCTGTTATTATCCCAGACAATGTGAAGTCAGGGTATTTAACAAACCTGAATCTTGGATCCATGGAGGCTATGGATACATGAGGATGTCTGCATAGATATAACTTAAAGAGAAACTCAATTTTGATCTACCTTTTGTCCCCCAGGTGTGCCCAACCCTAACCAATCTGACATTTTGTCAAACTTGAGCCTTCATTAATTGTTTTTTTCTTTTTTCTTTTCTGGTTCAGTAGGTTTCAGAAGATTTTTAAATGACCTCACCATTCTAATTCCACAATGTCAAGGCATTTTAGCGGTTTATACAGTGTATATATTTTTGGGGGTTGGAACCCCCCCCCCCTTTATTTTTTGGAGAGTGAGAGGGGATAAAACGTTTTCCGAGATTATATACATTTGTATTTGTATGTCCCACTTATTTATTGAATACAGAGATTCTCACACATTAAGTTTCCTCCAATCACCTTCTCTATTAATTATACTTTTTTATGAGAGAATGGTAGAAAATATTCTACTTATTTCTATATATCTAGATCTTGTGTGTAGCATGCGAAGTTTAATATGATATTGGATTCCCGCGATCTTTGGCTGTGTTGGCTATACTTGTACCGTTTTTTATCATATCTAGATCTATCGAAGGAACTAACATGTAACTCTGTTTTAAAGCCCACCCGCAGTTTTTCAAATTCTTAAAGAAAATTCTTTATAATCTTCGGAAATGATACAAATCCATTCAATTTTAAGGCTTCTGTAGTTTTTGAAACGTGTTTTTTTTTTTGTTTTTTTTTTGTTTGTTTGTTTGTTTTTTTTGTATTTTGTTTTTAGGGAGGGGCGGGGGGGGGGGGGTATTTTTTAAAAAAAAAAAAAAAAAAAAAAAAAAAAAGGCCATAAAACAAAGATAGTATTTATTTAGCACAACCTTAGATATTTCCATACAAGTCACTGAATCTTTTTTTTCTTGAGAGAATTTCTGTATTCAGGGGGGGGGGGGGGTCAGAACAACCCTTAACCCCCCTCCCCCTTTCAAAAATTGCTGGATCCGCCCCTGCAAGGCTTTGTGATATCATTTCACTACACAGAAAGTTACAAAAGACTATCTTCCAAAAATTACTGTAAACCAACTTTTATTCGCGTGCCTCGTCATCGCGAATATTTTTCGCCGCGAACCGATACTTAAAGTCATTTTGTCTATTTACAACATATCGAAAAGGTCTGATAGCGAAAATTAATCGTCGCCCACTAATTTACCCGAGGTAAATCAAGAAATAAAGTCGTCGCGATTAAAAGTTGGTTTGCAATCACTTCTGACTACGAGGGCTGTTCAATAAACAATGTCCTTGGTGTTCGGAAAGCAACAAAAAAGGCTTTTCAATGATCTAATCTTAATGATTTTACTTAAATATTCTCTTTTAATTAAAACACGTCTTTAACTTTTTTTTATCCATTTTCTGAGTGTTTTCAAAAATCCTTTTTTGAGTATGACCCTTCGTATACTGGAATACGGCAGATCCTATGATTTCCTTCACTTGTTTCTTCTTTCTGAAAGGTGTTTTTGTTCAAGTTTGAAAGTGAAATAAGTCAAAGGGTGAATAATCTAGCGAATATAGTTGGTATGACAAAACATTAACTTTCTGGTTTTCCTTTACTTATTATGGCGTTTGGGTTTGGACGCTGTCATGAATAAATTTAATGTAATGGATTCCTGATTATGGTTCCTTCTTCTCATAGACCTTTCGATTTTTTTTGCAAAAATTTTGCTTTCTAGACTCCTCCAGAAATTGAACTGCCTCCCCGAATACGAATTTGAACAAGACAAGTAATATTTTAAGAAAATGGCATACAAAACGGTGTTTGAGCTCTTAACATTCTTTGCTCTTCTCAGACCTTGGCTGTTTTTGTCACGTGCATCCTATTGTAAATTTGTTTTGAGGGTTTAAAGCAATGGCTTCAAGTTTCATTATTATCTCTTTGAATTTCAGACAAACGTAGATAATTACAATTTTTGATTTTTAAAAATAATTGGTTAGATATTCTTACACGCTGCCCTTTTCACTCATTTTCAAAATATAGGGTGACCTTTAAGCACTAAGTTTTTTTTACTGTTAAATGTTTCTTTAAAACAGTGTAAACTATTCGCAAAATGATGCCTATCAATTTTGTTATGTGTCCTAAAAGCATTCAAACATCATCAGTGATATTCGTTGAATTTTGGCAAACAATACATTGGTTGTTGTAAGTCTTTTTCGCCAAGGACGGTACCCATTTTTTTGATACCCATTATATCAATTTTGTTGATTGAAATCTTCCTGCTCATGTGTCAATAACACAAACATTGGTTGCCGTAAATTTCACATATTTCAGTAAATATTTCTTTGGGATTCAATTATATCAATTTTCAGGCATTGATAATTGAAAATGCTCACAAAGATGTCTCTAAATTCTCAAATTAAAATGTATTTACCCACGGTGTTTCTTTAAAATTCATCTTCAAATTTAATCATATTATATAGGGAAAATTAGTAAATCTCGAATAATTTTTCAGGAAATGCGATTTGAACTACCTACTGCATATTGTTTAATTGATAATTGATCAAGAAATACATTTTAGGAATAAAAATCATAGGTATCCAGGCTTTTAAAGAAAATTGCATGAATTTTCAATTATTTGGACTTTACTTTCTCCTACTTACTTCCATTGTTTCATAATGCATAGTGTATGAAGTGTTTCCTTTCAAAGAAAACACTGTAAATCACTTCTAATTTCAAATAATGCATATAAACATTGGTATTAAATTAAAAGAAATTTGATTTTTTTTAAATATGCAAGTTCTAATTTTATGAGGTACAAATGTCAACTTTTTAAATAACGTTTGTTAAAACTTTAAAGAGCATTGAATCATTCATAAAATGAAAATTGTTGCATAAAAAATTTCAATTTCAAGCCTTATTTTAATACTTTTTGAATTAAATTATAAATTAAAGAGTTATCCTTCCTGGCTGAGGATCGTATATCCTTAACAGCAGTTTTCATGAAGCGTTTACTTTCACTCTAGTTTACTAAATCTTTACAATTCATTGATAATACAACGTCTCGAATAGCCCTTGTTTTCCAGCTTCTCACAGTGAAACTATGTGATGAAAAGTGGTCATATAAACTGTAATCAATTCATGAAAGATTCAATCATGAGAGAAAGTCAAGCTTAATGTCAAAGGATTTCCGTTTTGTATGTCATAGAGCTCAGGACATTATTTATTGAACAGCCCTCGTAAAACGACTGACTTAAAACATTTTGATATTCTCCAGGAAACAATTATTTTCTTTATTCATTTTGAAGTTTTCTCAACTTAAATTCTCAATTTATGATTTTTTTTTTCATATTTGAAGGTATTTTTGAAATTTAGAAAAATTTTTTCTAACATCAACTATTAAAATCTTAAAGCTATATATGGCGTATCTGAGCTAAAAATTGAAAATACGAGATTAAGTGTAGATTTACATGATATTTGTTAATTACGTTCAAATTGAAATTTTCTAAAAATGACTTCTTATCATTGCATAACATATATAGAAAATCATTTTTTCTAACATCAACTATTAAAATCTTAATGGTTCTTCTTGAACCTTGAATCATTTTAGAGACACGAGTTTTCTCAACCAATATATGATTTTTTTTTTTCATATTTGAAAGTATTTTTGAAATTTGAAAAAAAAAGAAAATGGGCTAAGACAAGCTAAAAATGACTTCTTATCATTACATAACATATATAGAATATCATTTTATCTAACATCAACTATTAAAATCGTAATGGTTCTTCTTGGACCTTGAACCATTTTAGAAACATGAACCCTAAATATGGAACAATGACACCATTTATATATGATGAAATATTTATTAGGTAAATTGTAAAGCACACTTATGTTTATATGTATCAAAAGTAGTGCATCTCAGTATAACCTGAGGAATGTAAGGCAATTATGATTATATTACACGAGATTACTATTGGTTACTAGTACCATGTTAATGAAGAACACTTATGGGGTTTCCTAAAACCAAGTCCTTCTTGCTTTGTGGATTGCAAAATGTGAAATAAAAATTTAAAAATCCATCACTGCTGAATAATTTATAATTCAAAGTGTTACAATGGAACTAAAGGTCTTTTATCCTCACTCAATGATAGTGAAGAAAAAAAAAACCCTGTTCAAGAATGTACAAAAATGTGACATTTAAGAATGGTAGTTGAAACATTTTGCATTTTTTCATGCAAAATGAAAGTAAAACAATGAAATAAAATCAAGTTTATCTTGCACCATTTTTCTAAATTAATTAAAAGCCTCTCCTCAAAAATTTTTAAGCAGCTGCTGCAGGTACACAATTATACATGTACCCTACATAAGCATGTAAATGCTGAAGCAAAACTGACAATGCATTCATTCTGGTACATCCATATGGTGACAGAGACAAGTTTATACGGGATTATTTGACACACCTTAAACAGCCTGCTGAAAGATAGCTTATAAACACTGAACAATGGCAGCTCCCACAATGGTCCACTGACAGTCAGGATCGACTAACGCTGACAGAATTAGGTCTCTCCTGTGGATTGTCTCTGACAATGACATCATTGTTATGCCTATGTCACTCAGCTGTTGAGAGATCCTCGTTGCTGAACTTATAGCAGGAAAATGTCAGGCGTGCTTCCTCTTTCCGCAAGTTCTCTATACTGTACGTATTCCCTATCGAATGCAGAAAGTGGAAAAAATGTTTGTTTTCAGTTTATGTTGCCAAGGTCAATTTTAAGAAAAAGCTGATAGTAAATATGAGAACACATTGTTCAATGCTTAGTACATATCCAACTAAAGAATCCCCCCCCCAAATAAGAAAAAAATTCCTCTCCATGTGCCACTATGTTCCATTTTTGTGAAATGTTTGTTGATTTTTATCATGTTTATCAAAGACATGAACTTTTGTTGACTTTTATATGCACAATTAATTAACATAAACCTATTTAAATCAATGTACACACCCAGCTAAGAAATACTGATAAGACTAGAATATCAATTGATAAAATTTTACCTTGTGGAACAAAAAACATGTCACCAGCTTCTACTAATATCTTTGTCCTGTGTATGGTCACACATATTTTTCCTTTCAGCAAGCAGAAAACCTGAAAACAAGAGGTACAAAGGAGTACTTAAATTATAGATTGCACTTTATCCCAGGTATTTTTAAGTAAAACAAGCTTGGTTAAAATTTCCTTCAATAGCTTATTACAAAGAAATACATACTCAGTAATCAAGAATATAGATTGTTTAGCTCAGGGAAATAGAACTACTCTAGATTTTCATCTAAATACTCATTAAAATGATTTCTGTCAACCCATCATCAGTAGCACATTTAACTATAACTACCAGGTACTTTTTTGTAGAGTTCTTACTTACCATTGTTCCACTGTTAACGATCTGTTCTGGTTTAGATTTCAGTGGCCTTATATAAAGATTTCCCATCATGAACTGCCTCTGGTTCAGTCGCAGTGACATGACATAGGGGTCAGTAGAGATTGGATCATCTTTGGATGGGCCCACAAACACCTCCGAATCCTTAGAACTGAAGCATTCTATAAATACAACCACCGAGGACTCTGGTGAGATTGCTGACTCTGCTGGTTTGAACTTGTATATATTTACACAATTAAATGCTGTCTTCAGTTATTAGTATTGGAATTACCAGTAGTAGTAATGTTGTAGCTATTGCAGGAAAAAAAAAAAAACTTAACACACACATAATTTTTTCTGCAGTATTTACAAATGGAAGGTTATCAAAATTCAGTAGGTTATCAGTCGCCTTTCACTTCAATAAATCGCAGTTTCATCCTATGTTGTTCATCGTAGGGGCAAGAAGACATTATTTGTGGATGAGTGGTCACTGATTTTTCTCTCTCCCTAATTAGTTCTTAAAATTTCAGTACATGTATATGGTGGATGTCAAGTGCTCATACATTTGTAAATACTTGTTACATGATTTCCCTTTTCATCAAGGTTGATGCTGTGATGGCTGAAGTGTGATAAAGGGCTGACAAATGTGTGAAATATTACAATTCAGCACATGGTACTTGCTGTCTGACTTGTGTGTAATTGTGGTTTCTCATTCTAGTGTGTTGGCACTGTTATTGGGGTACATGTACAAAAGGTGTTAGGTTTTACTGTGATTTGATTGTTGCAGAAAATAGTTCTGTGACAGATAGTCAAATTGTTTCAGAAAAAGTTGATTTCTTTTCAAGGAGAAGCAACTCTTTCATTGAAATGTGAAAAATTAATAGATATCTTAATGTAGTCATGCTTTAATCAAATCTAATTAGAAAGGTGAAATAATTTACAATATATAAAAAATCTGTAAATTATATATATCGCCCTATTGAATATTTACAAAGACCACTACTCCACTAAATAAGATGTTGAGGGGGGTAGTCAAACGGTTACATAATTTATATATGATAATTTATTATCCATCCAACATCAAAATTATTGGTCTGTTTATGTCACGTCTACTTAAATAATAACATAAAAACTGCAGATGCATCAAGAATTGTACATATATATATGAAATACAAGAATTCAGAATTTAGCAAAAAAATACCTTACCCATAAGAACTTCCTCGTTATTGGCTGGATTTATCACTGGAACTTCTGAGTCACTCGAGTCTTGTAGGTCAGGATCCAGGTCTGTATGTACTGACAGATTTCTACGGGGAGACTGGGTAAACTTTGTCTTTTTATCTGGAAGGACAGCAATTGTTTAAAACCTACAGGTAATTTAAATAACTTTATTTACCTCTATCATCAAATAAATAAACTATCCCTAACAATTCTAAAGAAATTTATCTTTCTTGTATCCATGCATTTTGTTCTCATATTTACCTTCAGTGCGATTTTGCTTCCTTCTTTTGATGACGTTTTTCCTTCGTTTTGCTTCCTGTGCCAACATCAGCATTTCAACATGAGATGGCTCTACTTTTACAATACCTAGACCTACAGAACAACATATCAGTAATAAGTACAATATTTATCATATTGATATTTCTCATGCAAAAGATATTTTGAAGTAAATGATGAGGATTTAAAGGTATTTATTATTTCCACATGTAGGACATTACCTGATTTTCTGCGTTCATATACAAGTCGTTCTCCTTTATACCAAGCAACCGGCTGACATCGAACCCGCCGTGACCTCCGAACTCCGTCTGGGGCATCTTCAGGAAGGACTATAAAATAGTTGATATGACATAAAATAAGTTAATACATTGTCAATATAATTTTTACCTGAGGTGCATATAAACTGGGCATACAGGAATTCCCGAGTACTGTTTATGTAGAATTTTTAGTGAGGATTTAATTTTGGCATTATTAGCGAGGGTGTCGAGATCCCTAAAATTGAATATCGCTAAAAATTAATTGCGCTTTATTTGTAGTAGCTCCTTAAGTGAGCATTTTAAAGTCACTAAAAATTACTTATCGATAAAAATAAAATACCAATTATTATAGACAAATTCCTAATAGATTTGCGTCTAGCTAAAATTTCCACTTACATGGTATTCTGTATCTACTTACAGATTTTTGGCTTGGGTGGCATCAACATTTGCGGTACAGGAGATTCACTTGTTGTGGTCTGAAATATATGGATTGGTGTTGCGTTCATAGAATACATGGAATTCATAGATAGGCTCTGCTTTTCTCCTGAAAAACACAAACAATCAAAATGATTCCTGAAATCATATTTGTTTATCAAGTTTTTACAGAAGAAAGTACCTTAAAAACAGGTAAAAGTATACAGAAGCATTTTCACTTTATTTCATATAGAAACATCCCAGTCACACAGTGACCTGGACAGAAGGTCACAGACCTGATGACAAACCTGATGTGTTGGGGCTGTTGAAGGTCTGTTCCTCTACCAAGTGATTGATGGTTACTCTTCTCTTCTTTCCCCGGACAACTGATCCTGGTTGTTTCAGTATTGGGGTCAGTCCTGGAGCTGGGGAGTTGATGAAATCCATGTGCTTCCTCAATGCCACAGGGGTTTCTATTGATAAAAATTAAAGTTTAATCTCATAGGCCCAGACATCCATAATAAGGGACTTGTGTGGGAAACCATAATAGCTTAAATTATTTTGAACTGTTTTTTCTCTTGAGAATTATTACTTATTTCATAAATTCAATTATATACATGTATTCCAACAAATTATACAAGGTCTGACATGCATTCATAATCAAAAGGCAAGATGAATGAGCTCACAAAATGCATTTTCCTTCCTCTACTCTTGCTATGAATTTGACAGATTATTAAATTATACACTTTATTCTCTCAGTAACCATTCAGGTCAAGACATGACTCATTCTTAGATCGTGAGGAATCTTTGTGAGAAGTATGGACTCTAAATATGTCCTCAAAAGAAAAATATACTCTGTTTTAATTTCTAGATGCATCATCAATTCAGGTTTGGTCAAGTTTACAATTGTTTTGGACCTCTTTCAATCCGGCCACTTGACTTCAAGGACAGCAAAAAGCATGAAACACCTCATTTACATTTATGTTCTTTTCTATAACAAGACATTAAGTGTACACATGATTTTCTATAACAAGACATTAAGTGTTTACATGTTTGATTACTGATTTCAGGAAAACCCGGCTTACTGTTAGCTGATGTCTGGTTGATGGAATCCTCTTTAACTGAAGTATGATTCCGGTGTCGGAAGGACACCCCACTCTTCAGAAGCTCCTCGTCCACCTGGTACACAGACACGGGGGTAGAACCAAGGCTCTGTTTTCTGATGGCATCATCCTGGTTGCCTAAAAATAATGTCATTTACCAATATTTATTAAATGGAGGCAAAAGAGGCAGGATTTATCTGGACCCAATTAAAAAGCATAACCCAATATTCATTACAGAAGCTGTAGGTTACCAAGTCAGACAAGTTACTTACTTTGTTCTACATGCAATGTACCTGTAGTTAATTATGCAATATTTTAATTTTTATCAAATGAACACTTTCAAATCTTGTGAGAAATGATTTAAGGTCTAATTACTGGTTTTAGATTTGCTTATTTTGAAGATATTAAAGCCATAAATTGAAAGATCATAAAATTCATAGTCTCACCTTCATCTTTTGGTGAGTGTTCAGCTGCATCATCGACAACTACATCATCTAAATTCTCATCTATCATCTCATCTACATCTTCATTCATTTCTTTGTGTTCCTCCACATCAACTGCCCCTAAACTTTTACTGCTTTTCCTTTGACTTCCTTTCTTTTTCTTGATAGATTCTATTCCAGGGTTCCCTAAACTTTTTGTTTTCCTTTGCTTTCTGTTGTTTGTATCCGCTTCACTCTCATTTTCCACAGCCTCCTCCACATGACTCCTCTCCTGAGCACCTCCTACATCCTCCTCCACCTCAGTAATAGAATCCTCTTTAGCTCTCTTGCCACTCTTTCTCTTTTGACCCCTGTTTGTTTTCTTCTGATCTGTTCCTTCCTGCTGTATACTTTTCCTCTGCCCCTTACCCTTCCTTTGTTTGGTGGATGATCTTTCTTTTTCCACATATAAGTCATTGGGGTCAGCATCCTCCACTTCTGTCATTTCCACTTCTCTCTCGACTCCCTGAAGTTTCTCCATGCTTCCAATGAAAGCTGAGTGCAGGCTTCTAGATTTTCTCATGGATTTTCTATCCTTTGGATCTCTTGCTCCAGTTACACTAGATTTGTCCTTCCTTGAAGACATTCCCTCAGAGGCTCTGCTCTGGAACTTGTTTGATTTCTGTGCACTATTTATCTTTCTTAGTATTGAATCATTCCTCGTCTTGGCTTTTCTGGTTTTGTATCCAGAACTTTTGGATCTTGAGCTCATATTATTTGTACCTAGTTCCTGCTTTTCATGGTCCTCTGTTAAAAAACTCTTAATAAATTGACTTGTATGAGCAGCGACATTTTCTTCTGGTTCTATTACTTCACTTTGTTTATTTCCTATTTCTTCTGAAACACCAGACTTATCACTGGATGACTTTCTTGACTTTTTGGTTGTCGTACTTCGTTTTCTACTTTTTGACATCTTCTCTGGTAAATCAGAAGTTGATGCTAAATGTCCTCTTCCACTTTCATTTAACTTAGATTTTTCATTTACATTTTCTGTATCAATCTCTTCCTCTTGGTCCAAATTCAGTTGTGGATCTATGTCTCCTTCTTCCTCACTAACTTCTGTGTTTCTAGATCCTTTTAAGGAATTCTCTGCAGTGTCACTGTGTGATCCCCTAGACTTGCTAGCTGAATTTATTTCCACACTTTCCACTGTGACACTAGATTTTCTTTTACCCGCAGCTTGTGGACTAATCCTGGCCTCCTCTTCTACCACCAACTCAGATTCCTCTATATCACTGTACACTTCTTCATCATGTGTACTTGTATCAACAAGCTGTGTGACAGAATTTCCACTACCTCTCCTGTTTCTGGGCTTCAGTGACTTGCGGCTTTCCTCAGATGGTTTCCTCTCCCCCGAAGTCTTTCTAGAAACAGAATTTTTCTCTTTCGCTGCTTTTCTCCCTCTCCTCTTCTTCGCTGGTGAAGGAACAGTTGGTTCTTCTGCCTCTTCTACATCTATTTCCTTTCTCTCGCTGGGTTCTGATTTTTTCTTCCTCTTCCCTTCAAGTTTAGGCTTTCCTCTTGTCCACTTCTCAATCTCGGTATTTGGATCTATTGATCTGTCATCACTGATATCTGATGCAGCATCTTCCTCATTCACTAAAACACTTGACTTCCTCCTCAGAGAAGCCTGATTCTGAGATTTTATGTCTCGTGTTTTATTTTTAATAGTCTGGTTTTCCCTTGTTCTCTTGCTTTTGAAGAACAAAAATTCCTGACTAGCATTGGATGCAGTTTCCTCCTCATCATCATTTTGGTTCTGAAGCTGGTCCTCTTCTTGGTTTTCTTTTGACCTAAAAATTGAAGGATGCAAAAATAGTCAGATTTCCCTTAAATATACACCAGGCAGCTTTTACAAATGTAATATGCAACAGAAATAAAAAAAAAAAACACCACATGTAACTAAACAAACTGTCAAATATACACAAATACCTCCTTTTCCATGCTTCAAACTACATTGAATTGGTTTTAATTAAAAGCTTTACCATTTTTTAACTTTTGTCTCAGCTATTAAAATTAAAACCTACAACTGTGAGATAGCACTTGTTGATTTCCTCTGTACTAGTGAGCTGTTTACTGACAGGCTTTTGCCTCTTCTTTTCCTTGGTAGCTTTGTCTCGTGAGAATCATCCTGAGGGGTCTCAGCTGGTGTGGAGGAAGGGAGGGATTTTCCACGTTTACTGTTTTGTTAAAAAATTCAAAGTTTGATCAATTTAAACATCCATAAAAGTATAGGTAAATTTTTTGATCAAATATTGTTGGATAAGTTAGTGGATATAAAACAATTAATGTATACATTAGGAAGCACTGTTTTACATGTACCTTCTTCTGCCTGCCAGAGATGAAATTTGTGACTCCAATAACCCTGACCTCTGTCCTTGACTTTTAACCTCAGTTTGTTCTGCCTCTGATTTAGACTGAATTGATTTCTGCAGTGTTGAGGTACTCTTTCTCTGGACACTTTTTCTGGCATTGGGTTTCTGCCGAGTTTTCCCATCATCCAATGTAACAATCTCTATGCTATCTGCGTCACTGTCATGGACAACTTCAGTTACTTCACTTGGGATTTTGATCTTGGTCTCATTGCTGAAATATATGTTAAACACACAAGTCAAGTTACATATATTTCTATATACACATTTTGAATTTTAGCTAAACACGGTATAAATGTAGGCTAATCATTTATGTAAGATTCATTATTTTTTATGTTGTAAGTACTTTGAGGTCAACTGATTTTGAACACATGCTATATAGCATGCAAAGAGGCTAGAATTTTTTAGTATAAGAATTCACCCTTCTTATTTTTGACAGGGTCCTGAACCCACTCATTTAGGAATGCAACATAAAATTGATGAAATTAGGATGAATACTTCATGTGTTATCCATTTATACAAGAAATCACCTTATTGTAAGAAGTACAGTAAAACCCGGTTATAACGAAGTCACTGGGACCTGTGAAATTACTTCGCTTACGCTATATCTGTAATTTGTTTTATCCATATAAGGAATTCGTTAAACTTGTGCAGTTGGGGATCTAAGATAACTTTGCTATATCCTTGAATTCGCATTATCCGTGTTCGTATTAAACGAGTTTTTTTTCTGTATTGCTTTTAACAAATAGGAAGTCCTTAAGTTTATAAATTTTGTTTTAAAATTAAGAACTCATTCCCTGTATAATCTTTTACAACTTACCTGTCTTTATAAAACAACCAAAGGTCATAAGTTCTACATATACTGTATAATCACAAATTTTCGTGGGGATAAAATTTCGTTGATTTGTCATCAAAAATAGTTTCGTGGGGATTTAATTTCGTTGTTTGGAAAGTAATCCTACTCAATATGTAGTCATATAAAATTTCGTGTGGGATTTAGTTTCATTGATAATTGTTAACAACGAAATAAACGAAATTTAATCCCCCACAAATATTTGTGCTTTTACAGTAGGCTATTTTTAATTAACAGTTATTGTTCTGTTTTAACTTACAGTTTTTCTCCTAATGCTATAGATGACTTCCGACTACCATCACTCTCTGTCGCAGAAAATGAAATCCTAAAATTATGTCAAAATACTGAATGACAGAGAAGTCAGTGATTGTACTATTTCAGATGAACTGTGTGAAGCTGAAGCACATTGCACATCTACATGTATATCTCTAGGCTGCAGCTGTATTCTTACCTTTTACGTGTCCTAAAGCTTGGAACCACACTATTGGTCAAATTCTCAGACTTTGTGATAGACCCTGTCTTGTTGCCTCCGATATCCATGTGAGAGGCCTTGGTTATCTCCTGAACTGTTATTGAAGCCTCTATTCCATCCTGAGTGGGCATTTCACTGATAGATCTCCCAACAAATTGAGATTTACTTTTAGGGGTTGGCTCTTCTTCGGAGATATTCTCATGTGATTGTAATGTATGGCTGCGAGTCGAGGTAATACTGCCTGTCCTCTCTTGTGACTGGGTCTTTAAGGCAGATTGACCAGTTTCTCCTGAAGCATCTCTGTAGGAGGAGTTACCTTCCCTGTAGGAGGAGTTATCAGCCCTGAGTGACACTTCCCCTTCCTCATCCTCAGATTCCAAAGATTCTAAAATATGAGAAAACAATGCAGTTAACTTTACATTTCATTTCAAAAATCCTTAATTTAAGAGATTTTTAAAGGCCGGGGCCCGGATATAAAAGGCAGCCAATCGAAAAATGTTGGGGAAATTCAACTTTCTATGCAGCTTTCAGATTTGAGAAGCATTTTTGAGAAAATATGCTTTTTTTGATCATATTAAATTCTAATTTTTGGCATGGAAGCAGCCACCTTGATTGTGAATAATGTGTCCATCTTTCATAGTTGAAAAAAAATTATATCTTGAGTAATTTAGGAATAAAGTTCTGAAGCTGCACTGAATTTTGAATTTCTTCTCAGTGATTGACAAAGTAGGCGGAGATAACCAGTGTTTTGTTTACACAGGAAGTGGCTGTAGCCATGTGCTGCAGCACATGCTCTGCGTGGTATTACTATACTATAAATAGTTTTCACTAGTGATTTTTATAATTTATAGAGGAAAAATGACTGAAAAACATTTTATTTTGTCAATGAATAGTAAATACACAGGTTTTGAAAAATAAACACACATGTACAGTTACTGTATTAATATTTTTTTTCATACAAACCTTAGGTGAACAAGTGATAAGATAGCTCAACTAATATATTTAAGTATATTCCAGTCACTTAATTATATGAAAATAAAATATTCACAAGTCAAAATAAATATTTTAACACAGGTTTGAGTTCCTAATCACTCCCACATATGTCCCATGTATGGCTGATCATTGGGATTAGGTAGCCAATGTCTCACAAGGCTCACAACACATTTTGGCATAAGGTCCCTCCTGTGATAAATGTAATTTTTTCTCCGCGGATCCTGTTGTAGGGCATTTCTTTTCCTCTGAATATATCTCGGATCCTTCCATACATTTCTATGGAACAACATAGTCCAGAATCTTTTGTATTTGTCCTTTCTCCTCTGAGAATTACTTCTGTTTGGTGCCTCCGGATCCTCTAACCACCACATTTGTCGGTTGGTTTCCGATGTTATGCATGGACGGCATAGACAATGGATACATTCCTCTTCTTCATCTTTCTGATCTATAACAAAATCGGCAACATCTTCATTGTTCTGCTCCTCTTGGACCTGGTTTACATTGTCCTCAATTGGTACCTCATTGAATTCCCACTCATGGTGTGCAAATAGATGGCGTATTGTTTCTCTCTAGTTTCTGTTACTTCAATAGCTAAAATAGATTTCTCTTATAACCTCCATGTTGTACTCAGCAAATTCCAAGATGGCTACACATTTACACATGTAACACTGGAAAGCCCAACCATTTCAAAAGGACCATACGGGATACATTTAATACTTACATGCAGAAAGAGAAATAAACCACATATGTGTGCATAGAGCTGCACAAATGTATTATAATGTTTAACATACTCTTCATTATCATTATTTTTTAATTAAAATGTTTTAAGATAGATAAATTTTAAAAAGAACTTTATTAGGAAACCCTTATGTGCCTCTGCATCTCTGCAGTGAAAGGTCAGATTATGTCATTGTCAGATGCTAGATCAGGATTTTGGCGGGGAAGTGCTAACTACAGATAGGATTAGGTGTCAAGTCTGACCATTTTTATGTGAGGGGTGTCAAGATTGCATATACATAGCTTCTTGGATGTAGATATCTAAAAATTAAGTTGTTTTTTTTTAAATGTTCAAAATAAAAATACAGGCTTTTTATAAAGTGTTCACATATGCAATTCAGCATCATTTGTTGAGTTAAAGAAAAAAATTATGCATGTTTGTAAACCAACGCCCCTTTATAAAGAATAATAGTATATTCCAAGAATTAGTATCTTGTACATTTATTTGTAAAAACTAAAAACCTCAAAACAAAGATAGCGAATGAAAGTGAATATGTCTAGTCCACCGAAAAAACGAAAGAGAACACCAAGTTTCAGAATTGAATTATCGGGAGATGAAAGTAAGAAAACCAGTGTTTTGGAAAATTTGCAAAAACTAAGGAGTGAATTAGAGGGCAAACTGAACAAACATGTTGGAAATCTACAAGTCATTGAATATCTCTTTTCTATTTGGAGTGAGAAAAGAAATGAGGAACACGACATCCAAGGTGATGTTGCACAGTCTGCCCAAGAAAAATCTCCAGCTCCTAGTCCTTACATAAAAGTTCAGAAAAAGGATGTGAATCAAAAACTCTTCTTGTGTGCTGAAGAATCTTTGAGGAGACTGGTGGAAATTGCAGAATACCATGGTCAAAATTGTTCAAGGAATTTAAAAATGAAGAAAGTGCAACAAAGAGGACATGTAATGTCAACTAAATTTCAATGCGAGGAAGAGGGGTGTAGGCATACGTTTCTGTGGTCATCATCTCCTTATTTGCCCAATAATGAATATTTGGTAAATAACCGTGTCAACCATTCTTTATTATGCAGCGGGATGCTTCCATCACACTACACTAGATTTGCCGATGGAGCAGGTATTGGAAAAATATAAACAGGATAGGCAAAAGTTTTTTAATCAATCTAAAAAACACATTCAAAAGGAGTATGAAGACTCCATCTACACAGCAACTCTAGGAAGTGGCATCATATGAAGATCTCGAGAGTATAAATATAATGACTGATGCACGACATGGCTGGTAAAAATGCCAAAGATTCCAGTGTAGTGGCTATTGGGGACAATACGCTCAAAGTTTTATCATGTCAAAACATAACAAAATCTGATGATCAAGTGTCACAACGGCATGAAAAACTCGGAACGGAATATACCAACATTTGAAAGATCAAAATGTAGCTGTGGGAATTCATACTCATGACAGGAATCTGTCGATTAATAAATATATCCGTGAGGAATGCGAGTCTACAAATCAAAATGACACCTGGCATGCAGTCAAATCAGTTAAGTCCTCTTTGAAAAAAGTATCTTCTGGGCCAGCATATCTTGAGGGAAAAACCTGGTCATCTCAACTTGATGACAAAGTGGAGCCAGTGTGCACTCACTTTCACTGGGCCATTAGAAACTGTGATGAAGATACCGCAAAACTTCAAGCACTTCTATTGAACATAGTAGAACATTACAAGAACAATCACTCAAATTGTCATTCGTCCTCCAGGTGCAAAATGGATCCTAACTATGAAATATCTCGGAAAGTTATTTCTAACCCGTGTGCCGAGAAGTTGTTGCTAGGAGTCGTAAAAAATTCTATTGTTTATAAGCATCCACAGGATTACATTTTATGTCATGATACATTTTATGTTGAAAGCTTCAACAATGTCATGAATGTATACCAGGACAAACGAATATCATTTTCTGATGACATGTACAGAGCAAGATCCAATTTGGCTGTATGTCATTGGAATGAAAACGTGGACAGAGATTATACATCTGTTTGGAGACCAAACCACCGAATGCCAAGAAGTGCTAAGGGTAAAAAGAACTACAAAAAAATTAACTTTCTCATTTAGGAAAAATATTTGGACACGATATGTGAAGAGTGTCTTCAAAGCTAAAAGAAGAAACTGATGTTATTGATTTTATTTGAAGGAGACATGTGTAAATATCCCAAATTGTAAGAACTTTAAATCAAACTCCATTATTTACATGTAATTAGTTTGAAACTTTTGTCCTGATTATCTGCAAAATCCTAACTGTTTATACACTGCATTTATGTGTTAATAAGTAAATGTTGTATACTTAATTAAACTGATTTGCAGTACACGCAGATTTCACTTCTTTATTTATATTTACACACAAAATGAAATGGAATTCCCACTGTCGGTTATTTGTAAACAAAGCTGACTCAGCTCAGTGCAGTTCTTATCAGCAGCACTGACAGTGATGGAGATAAGCGCCGCCTATTTTACCAGGTGGCAAAAAATCTAGGTCGCCCCCGGCCTTTAAACATAAACTATCAATAAAGCCAAAAACATTTAATGAATTAAGTCTCAAATGTTTTTCTGAAAAAAAAGAAGAATATTTAAAGAAGCATTTACTGTTAGGACTTATGATAATGATGTAAGTATAGCACTACCATTGTTAGCTGTCCTAGACTGAGTTTGAGTGTAAGTGGGTGTGTCTTCTTCCTTCTGAGTACTCTCGACTAACGAGCTCACAGTTCCTGTTAGCTGATCCCTTGATACTTGAGCTTCTATTAAAAAAGTGTAAAGCACTGCAGTTCTATAAATTCACATTTTTTTTTATCTATTGTTTAATTTCTAGAGCAATGGTAACTTTGCAAATACCTATTATACCTAGCTATATCATAAAACATTTATTGAATAATTCTAAGATTTTTTTTCTCCAGGAAATAAGTATAATGAAAGGTAAACCTGAATTTGATGCTTCAGCACTGGCAGAAATGTTACTGTCGTATCTACAAAAAATCCTATAATTAAAATTAAAGCATGAGGTAAAAATAAGATCTTGGACAACCTTAAAGTCAAATATTTCCCGATACATGATAAACAAGAGGCCCAGGGGCCACAGCGCTCACCTGAGCACATCGGGCTTGAATTTACTCCCCCCCCCTTCCAGGCATTCATCATTTGAACAAACTAGAATCTACACTACCTGAGGATGATTCCATATAAATACCCCGGGTATCACTAATCATAGCTTTGAAGTACTTGAAAAGAAGATTTTAAAAGGTTTCCCTATATATCCCTATGTAAAACTTGGGTCAGCCATTTTGGCCCCACCCTATCCCCAGGGCCGGGGGTCATGATTTGAAAAAACTTGAATCTACACTACCTGAGGATGATTCCACATGAGTTTCATCTTTCCTGCCCCAGTGGTAATTGAGAAAGATTTTTAAAGATATTTCCTATATATTCCTATGTAAAAACTTGGGTCGGCCATTTTGGCCCCATCCTTGCCCAGGGGGTCATGATTTGAACAAACTTGAATCTACACTACCTAAGGATGCTTCCACATGAGTTTCATCTTTCCTGCCCCATTGGTTCTGGAGAAGAAGATTTTTAAAGATTTTTCCTATATATTCCTATGTAAAACTTGGGTCGGCCATTTTGGCCCCACCCTATCCCCAGGGCCGGGGGTCATGATTTGAAAAAACTTGAATCTACACTACCTGAGGATGATTGCACATGAGTTTCATCTTTCCTGCCCCAGTGGTAATTGAGAAGGATTTTTAAAGATATTTCCTATATATTCCTATGTAAAACTTGGGTCGGCCATTTTGGCCCCATCCTTGCCCCGGGGGTCATGATTTGAACAAACTTGAATCTACACTACCTGAGGATGATTCCACATGAGTTTCATCTTTCCTAGCCCAGTGGTTCTGGAGAAGAAGATTTTTAAAGATTTTTCCTATATATTCCTATGTAAAACTTGGGCCGGCCATTTTGGCCCCACCCTTGCCCCGGGGGTCCTGATTTGAACAAACTTGAATCTACACTACCTGAGGATGATTCCACATGAGTTTCATCTTTCCTGCCCCAGTGGTTCTGGAGGAGAAGATTTTTAAAGATTTTTCCTATATATTCCTATGAAAAACTTGGGTCGGCCATTTTGGCCCCACCCTTGCCCCTGGGGTCCTGATTTGAACAAACTTGAATCTACACTACCTGAGGATGATTCCACATGAGTTTCATCTTTCCTGGCCCAGTGGTTCTGGAGGAGAAGATTTTTAAAGATTTTTCTTACATATTCCTATAAAAACTTCCATTTTGGCCCCACCCTTGCCCCAGGGGTCATGATTTGAACAAACTTGAATCTACACTACCTGAGGATGATTCCACATGAGTTTCATCTTTCCTGTCCTAGTGGTTCTTGAGAAGAAGATTTTTAAAGATTTTTCCTATATATTCCTATGTAAAACTTGGGTCGGCCATTTTGGCCCCATCCTTGCCCCGGGGGTCATGATTTGAACAAACTTGAATCTACACTACCTGAGGATGATTCCACATGAGTTTCATCTTTCCTGGCCCAGTGGTTCTGGAGAAGAAGATTTTTAAAGATTTTTCCTATATATTCCTATGTAAAACTTGGGTCGGCCATTTTGGCCCCACCCTTGCCCGGGGGTCATGATTTGTACAAACTTGAATCTACACTACCTGAGGATGCTTCTACATGAGTTTCATCTTTCCTAGCATAGTGGTTCTGGAGAAGAAGATTTTTAAAGATTTTTCCTATATATTCCTATGTAAAACTTGGGTTGGCCATTTTGGCCCCACCCTTGCCCCGGGGGTCATGATTTGAACAAACTTGAATCTACACTACCTGAGGATGATTCCACATGAGTTTCATCTTTCCTGGCCCAGCGGTTCTGGAGAAGAAGATTTTTTAAAAATGTCATAATTTTTAACAAATTCATGATTATCTCCCCTTGGAAAAGGGCATGGCCCTTTATTTGAACAAACTTGAATCCCCTTCACCCAAGGATACTTTGTGCCAAGTTTGGTTGAAATTGGCCCAGTGGTTCTTGAGAAGAAGATGAAAATGTGAAAAGTTTACAACAACGACAACGACTACGACGACGACGACAACGACAACGACGACAGACAACGGACAAATTTTGATCAGAAAAGCTCACTTGAGCCTTCGGCTCAGGTGAGCTAAAAAAAGACAACAATAACAACAACAACAAACGTAAACTGGCAAAATGTTCACTAGTGAGAGACTGTATACTCCTAACAACCAAAGGCATTTTCTCATTTCAACAAAACTACATAACAAATTCCATTTTGTGTACTTACATTGAATGGTCTTCAATCTAAAAAAATATAATCAACAGAAATAAATAAAGAAATCAATATAGTCCTCTCAGTTTACTCTACTAAAATTGTAAGGCACACAAATGTAAACATGTACAAATGATTATTATGACAAAAATAAAAGCTGGTATTTTTGAATATATTGTCAACTTCACAAGTTATTCATCCAGTTAAAAAAAAATATCTGTAATTTTTAAAATTAATTATAAACATGTATTTTTAAAAGTTTTCAAACATGGAGACAGTTTCCATCACAACATGCAAAGAATAATGTTTTGTGGGCATGAAAACTAAAACCCATATCAACATACATTCTACGTTATCTGAGATTGTTAAATTTACCAGTTTAGAGGGTTCCCTTGTGAAGTTAGTACTTGTCCTTGACAAACGACTTGTCATCAGAGAGCTACTTAGACTCTCTGCCTCTGGAATAAAAAAAAAAAAGAATAACTTGAAATGAGGCCAGGGGACATAAATGCTTTGTAACGTCATATGTTGAAAAATTATATCATAAATCAAACTTTTAAGGTCTCTGGTTATCTTTTATAAAGACCAATAAATATGATCCACATGGAATTAGAATTAATTTTTGATGAGATGTCTAAAACAATTGACACAGTCGAAGACAAGTCACATTGCAAAGTGTTTAATTCTGAAATAAATGTACCTGATTCAGAGAGAAAATCCTCGAATATTTCATATCCCTCCTCATCCACTCGGATTATTTTACCCTCAGTTAAGTCCTTCCCTGTACGTCTACAAAACACCAGAATATTATTACAATTTTTAACCTGCCAGTGGTATCTAATTCCTAAAATGTACTTACACGTACCTCAAGTTTCTCTTTAAAAAACTTGAATTCATGCAAAGGATAAATAATACTGCACTACGGTGACTGTTTGCCGATGACTGTTGTTCTACTCTTGGCATAGAAATATGAAGTGCAACCTTATTAGCTTACCTGCCAATGTTCTTATTTCTTAACCAACCAACAGGATTGGTGTCTGAAGCCTACAAATTATAAATAATGTAAATTGTTCAGTTTCACACATGAAGGAAAGTAAACAGAAATCTTTTACTTTTAAAAGTGGGTGAATTGACATTAAGGACAGCTAGAATTAATTCTCTTATGAAAAAAAAACTCCTGTATTTATATCTGATTTTTTTTTATTTTTCATTGAAATATTTTTTATTGAGTTTACCTGAAAATAAAGTCTTGATACATCTTATTTTACCAATGCACCTTTCATTTAATTAGAACCTGATGATCTGAACTATGTATTCTGCTGAGAAAACTTAAATTAAACTTTTCATTTTTTGCAATTAAATTCCATATATATTTTTTTTTTGTAAAAATGTCTGACACCTCAATATAATCAGCAGAATATATCCTTAAATAACCCTTTTTCTTACAACATAATCAAGGTTTGTATATTTGATTTGTTAATCTTTTTGGCTTTACCTGGCTATTAGTGATGGAGGAAATCCCCAATGTGTCCCCATATATCTGTGACAGTGCCCCTCCCCTGGAGGCCTGACTCAGCATGGAGGAGTAGGCAGTTGAATGTGATACGGGTTGTGAAAGGCTGGGACCCTTCATTGCTAGCTTTGGTCTGTGAAGGCGGCTTGGCACGTTTTCCTTCAGCATGGATGCATTTTCAAGTCTTGAGATCTCAGAGGTTGTATCTGCCTCTACAAAAGAAAAAAGTTAGCATTTTGTAATATTTTCTTTGCTTTTTTCCTCCATTACTAGTACTTCCTTTTTTAAAAAAATTGAATACCTTAATGAAGGGAAGAGGAAAATATTTTGTTTCAGTTTCCTTATAATACTTCTAAGCCTTATGAGTCATGAAACAACAAAGAGACAGCATCTGAAGCATGTCCAGTAGTGACCAGTAGTATGCATTCTAAAATCGTCTCAAATTTTGAGTAAATACCAGGGATTAATCTAGGGCATAATTACTACCTATATTCAGTGATTTTCCCCTAGATAAAATTTCCCTTAAGATCTAATTCTCCCCTTTTGATGAGTAAAATCTCCCCCTTACAATAATAAAAACCTCCAATATTTTTTCCTTCTTAAAAACTGAAAATTTAAAATTTGATTTTTTCAGTATATGAGAAATATGGATTTACTTTGCTACTTTATGTGCTTTAAATGGTCATTAAAATGATGAAATTTAATTGGCAGACCCCAGCTGATTTTCCCAATTTCTCCAGAAAGGGTAGTTTCCCCCAAAACCTAGATTAATCCCTGAATACTAATAGCACTGTTATGCCATTTGAACAATCCTTCTATTTCTCTCATTTAATATATGGATAAAGCTTTTTGTTATCACTTAAATTAAACCGTTCTGTATCCTAGATACTTTGCAGTCATTGTACAATTTCTACTTATTTGCATAAGAAACACCCACAAAAAGTGTTCTGTATCACATTTTACAACTGACTCAAAGGAAAACTCACCAGGCAGGTAATGTCGCAGTTGCATGAAGTAAACACTGGTCCATAAAATGCATTTACCTGATTCTGATAAGTAATCCCTAAAATCTTCAAACCCATCAGCATCTTTCCTGATGGTCTTTCCTGCTGTCGTGTCAATTCCAGTTCTCCTACAACAGAAAAAGTACTGCTTTTACAAAAATCTTTTAAAATACTTGACAAATGTATTTATGAGGGTCATAAAAAAAATGACAATCCAGATCATGGGGAGATGAATTTCACTTGAGATTACATTGGTAGTAGCTGCAGATCAGCAATCAATTAACAAATAATTTTAATCAAGCAGGTTTACCACTTGTAGAGACGAATTAGGAACCTTAGTCCTAGATTAATCCCTGAATACTAATAGTGCTGTCATGCAATTTGAACAATCCTTATATTTCTCTCATTTAATATATGGATAAAGCTTTTTGTTATCACTTAAATTAAACCGTTCTGTATCCTAGATACTTTGCAGTCATTGTACAATTTCTACTTATTTGCCTAAGAAACACCCACAAAAAGTGTTCTGTATCACATTTTACAATTGGCTCAAAGGAAAACTCACCAGGAGTTCCATGTTCATTCGCCCTAAAAATTGTTCGCCCAATTTCCCGTTCGCCCAGAGTCCGCTCGCCCTAAAACTTGTTCACACAGAGTCCGTTCACCCTTATTTAATGTAGAATAAAATCTAACGAATTTCTTTCCAAAATTTTGGTACATTCGAACTAAAACAGCCCGTCAGACGTTATGCATATTGTCACAAATGGTCACACTAAATACATGATCTATCCAAGACCTGACAGACCTTTGGACTTTTAGAACATAAATAAATTTTGTTTACTGTATACAGGGTTATTTTCGCCCCGTTTTGAATTCGCCCATTCATAGTTTTATTACAGAAATTATATGCATTATTTCATTTCACCCCGTTTTAAATTCGCCCAAATGAGGATAGGGCGAAAGGGGCGAAAATAAAACAGGAGCGAAAATTTCCCTGTATACAGTAATTCCTTTAAATCATTCTTTGAGATCAAAGGGAGATTCTTCAAAGGTAAAACCTTCAACATCTGCAGTACAGTTCTATAATGGACCTATTAACGTCTCAGTCCTTTAATTGTTTTCAAAACATAGCGCAATTCGTAAAAATAACACGGGTGTATCCCCCCTAATTAACATTGATATTAATCATCTAATTTACTCTAGTGCAAACACTAAGTCATTCAAAAAACATTAGAATCAAATCAAAAATTAATCAAGACTAAATACACATTATTCCTCGTATCAGAATTTGAGAAAAAATATCCCAAGTTCATAAGAAATAAATAGAAGAAAAAAAATGATATTGATATATGTTAATTTTTAATTCATATGAGTTTATATATACAAGTATATATAAGTATTGGGCGTACCACATATAGGGCGAACAAGATATTGGGCAAAAAATATTTCCGGCGAACGGACACTGCGCGAACGGACTCCCACGAACAGGTAGATCGGGCGAACGAACCCGTTACCCGCACCAGGTAATGTTGCAGTTGTGCCATAATTGCACCTTTTTTGCGACATTACCGGATCTGTAGCATTATGGTCAAAGACAAATATTTAAAACCATAACGCTACAGATCTGCAGCTACATTGGTAGTCAATCAATGACAGAGATTTGTGTTCTCTGTCATTCAAAAAAACATGATTAAAAATTACTATGCTTAAAGTACTTACCATCCATATTGTCTGTTGAATGGATTTACCGGTACAAAACGTTTTTTATTGTTTTTCTGAAAGAATATAATAAAACTATAACAGGGTTTGATAATATCAATCATTATATGTTTTTCAAGTTAAAGCATGGCAAAAGCCAAATACAATTTTAAATAATGATATGAAATTGACAAACTGCTTTTCAGATTCTGTATCAAAACCTCACTCCCCTTCAATTTTATTTATGAACATCAGCTCTCATTAGTAAACCACTAAATACACTGGTATTTCAAATAGATAAAAAATTATGAGCTGAAAAATGGTCTTACTCTTGGCATCTCCTTCAATGCAACACTGCTTAAACCTTATCAGTAGTTGCCAGTTGGTATTTTTTTCAAGATTTTGTTTTTTCCGCCATTTTTTTCTGTGTTCTCAAATGTAAAGCACTGGTTCAAAGGATAGGGAAAACTATTTCCGAATTAAATTAAATTTTCCATTTTCAGATGAATCTCCATATTTAAATGCTAACATGTGTTATTTTTACATCATGTGAATCAGTTAATTGAATTTTTAAATGATTTATATATATTTTTTTCAAATTAACCTAGGCCTAGTGAAAAGGGTTCTTTCTCTTATATTTTACATGAAAATCAAAGTCATTTTGACGCTTAGCATGCCGCGAATATTTAGAAGTTGAAAGTAGGTGATGTTTACTTTATATTCAACCAACGTTTAGCTTTATTTTGAATTTATTAAATGTTAACAATGTGGTTATATTGCTACCTTTCAGTTAAATTTTTTTACTAGTACTAGCTAGCTTTTACAATTTTGTTCAGTCACAGTTACACACTCAGAGAATGCTGGACAACTCGCCCCCAAGACAAGTCGCCCCCAAGACAACTCGCCACCTTTTCAAGACAACTCGCCCCCAATTTAGGACAACTCGCCCCCTGTTAAGACAACTCGCCCCCATGTTAAGACAACTCGCCCCCAGCTTTACGAAAGCAAATTGGGGGCGATATTTTTTATATAAATGTATATATTTGTTATTAAATATATATATTTTTATATTATTTCGATATTTATTTTTATTTTAAGTGTTTCTGGCGTTAGTTACGCTCAAAAAGTGTACTCCTCTTCTCACGTGAAGTGCCTGAAACAGAAATATGTTTTAGATTAAATTCATCAATATTTGCATTTATGCGGTCATTATGCCTATATAACATTGCACTTAAAAAAGGAGAAGATACGATTAATATAATTTTTTTATGAAAATGTTTATTTTTTATATAATATTAAATATATTTTTTCTACTTAATTATTTTATTACAGATGACAGATTCCAGTCATTTCTTCCTTATATAGGGACCATGTCAAATTATTTGTTTCCAACACAAGCTTTCTTGAATTCTTCATCACTTTAAAGTTTTAAGTTGCTTCGGAGCTTGGATACACCAAATTTTTTTTTTATCAACTTACTGTATATATGTAATTTTCGAGGCTTGCATGCTCTAATTCTTCATTACTTTAATTATGCTTTGGAGCTTGGACAAGCCAATTTTTTAACAACTAAATATACGGAATTTTCGGGGCTTGGTTGTCCTAATTGATCATCACTTTGAAGTTCCAAATTACTTGTGAGCTTGGGGATTTCATTAAAATTCTGTCTGCTGTTTTCATTTCAGTTTTCATAAGTTCCCTAAAAGCCGTCGTCAATGGAATATCATTAATATGTCATTAAATAATTAAGATTGTTCAACTTAGAATATTGTACTTGATTTACCTAGACATATTCTACAGATATAAATTTAAAACAGTATGAAAAATTAAAACGCATTTATTTGCTTTATCTCATAAGAAAAAAGTCTAAGGAAATAATAAATATTTTATACATATACTGTGTTCAATAAATATATATGAAAAAAAACCCAAACAAATAACAACATATTACACACACAATCGTAAATATTAATTTTATTTTACCTATAAAAAATATCAATTATAAATCATAGATTAATCTTGCATTTAAAATATATTTTATTGAATAATATATGTTTTTTTTCCTTGCAGTACACAATAAAATATAATGGGGGCGAGTTGTCTCTAGAGTGGGGGCGAGCTGTCCTGAGTGGGGGCGAGTTGTCCTAAATTGGGGGCGAGTTGTCTTAACAAGTGTTGGGGGCGAGTTGTCTTGGGGGCGAGTTGTCCTGATTCCCACTCAGACACTGGTACAGGGTTTTCCCCTTATTCACAGGGGCTCGTCACAACTTATTTGTCCTGTTTTAATTTTACCAATCCTATTAATATGTTAGACGGTGTGACCGTTAGTGAGGGCGGAGCCATGAAGAGAAAATTGCTACCTTTTATTGTTTAATGACAATCAGTTAAATTCTGAAATTTTAATAAAAAAAAAACTTTTCATTCAAATACATGTAATAAATCTAAGAACTAACTGAGATATTTCATCATGAGACAAAGGGTTGTATAGCCAGAGCACTAAACGTCGAAGAATGTAGTGGGGAAAGGGAGCGGCATGCACTGGACCAGTAAGGAATTCAATGTACCGAGGTCCGAGAAATGTGATACACCTCAGTCCAACGACACCTCAAACTTTAATGCATGTAACAGTAAACTTGTTCCCAAATATATCCTACAATAATCAACTCATAAACTTTTCTGAGCATCATTTCTTTGTCTTTCACTACTTTTAATTCATATGCTTATTTAACAACACTGATCTGGAAACCTCAAGTCATTTCTCAACTGTTATTACTCCCATTACATTATCATAGTTATGACGTCATCTAAAGTAAGAACAATATTGTCAAGACCAGATCAGAAGACGAACTCAGATGACCTAAAATACAGACAGATGGTCTACTTCCTGGATGAATCTCATCATCAGACCAAATTTGACTGTGTTACTATCACGAAGGTTGAAAATATAACAGCATCACAACTTTTATGAGAAAAAAAATTTGCAACGGATGCATGATTAGGGACATTTGTTAGGTCCCTGTTGTGATATATCTTTTTAAAGTTTCTTCTTATGTATTTCTTTTTATTTTACATTAATTGGTAACCCATTAATTTAATTATAATGATTGTTTTCTTTATTTTAACGAAAAATGTATATTTCACTTTTCAGGTGTTTTTTTTTTTTTTTTTTTTTGCTGATGTTGTTAAAACAAATCTGATTTAAATAGTCTTTCGAATTTTCTAAATCTAACATAAACACAATCGTTTTGAAAACAGTTATACTTTTTAATTATCTGAAGAAAAAAAACCTCGAAATTAAAAGTAATTTTTCTGGTATCTTTGTCATTTAAGACTTGGTTAATCATATAATTTCAAAACCAAAACTTGTGAATAGTAGGGTACACTTCTGAGAAGTTTGAATTGAGTATTTATAATAACTTTATTGATTAAAAATTCTGAATATTTGCTTCATGTTTTTAAAAGTTTTAAAGCACATTTATAAGGATAGAAAACTATATTGATATGCTTGATGTGTATTACATTAACAGCATGCACTGCAACATTGAAGTCATATAACTTCATTTACATGCATTTACTGATACATGCAGACTGAACAACTACCTCTCCAGACTGTACAACATACATTGTCTAACTTAGTTTTTCCTAATTTTAGACTTTACAGTATATATGTAATTCCAATTGTCTAAAAAAATCTTTTCTATATTTTTAAAATTCATATATATCAATTAAGATTTTTGTTTTGATTATTATAACTATAAACTATATATTATTAAGATACTGAAATTTTGTCATTTGAAAAACTTCATAAAATGAAATATTGAATTTTAAAAATCACAACAAAAATGAGACTCAGACTTCCATCTGCTAAATATTTATATATCTATGTACAAGTAGATATTCATAAACAATTTGGATACCTAAAAAAATTTTTAAAAAAATATTCCACACATTTATTGAGTCCCTATATTTAGACTTTTCACAGGGTATTAAATTTTAAATATAACTTTTAAAGCATATTTAACTGTTCAAAAAAATTGTACAGTATGTCTAAAAAAAAATACTGTATTTCTAGCTTGGTATGTATTGACAATAATCCTGAAGACATTCGTTATTATTAAATTTTAATAGCAAATAAATAAGGATTATTTTCCTTCTACAGTCTAGTGAAAGGCGCCACATATAGATCCGCTCCTCAATAGTGCAGACGACAGCGCCGCCCGTAGGGAATTTCTAACCAATCAAATGCCGTTATACTTGTGAAGCGCGAACTATAAATAAATCTAAACGTCTAAATCGAAAGTTGGAAGATGGATTTGATTTTAAGTAAAAAACCATTACTACTAATTATCCTTGGATTAAATGGTTTTCACTTTGATGAAAGTCTCACCAACAACGAGAATTTGCGCGTGAATCAAAACGACGCCATTTTACAGGACGCCATATTGGCGACAAGAATCTCAGTTCCATAGGTATTGTAATTAATATATAGTTTACAATAGATTTCTTTTATTTTTCATATACATACGTGTTACCTATAGGGAGAGCTTCGCTCTCAGGGGCCCTTCGGGCCCGTGAGAGGGCTCCGCCCTCTATAAAAATTAGTATAGGAGTAGTTAAATTTAAGAAGCTGCAGAATTGCAGCTTTCCGAAAAAAAAATATATTGACAGACCAGAGAGCTACAGTGCTGACCCATTGAAAAAATGTGTATTTTATATTCATTATATTGCACACAAAAAGTTATGCTTTTGTCTGGATTTTTTCTCTAAAATTCTAATCTCAATTGCCAAAAAGGTAGATTTCTAAAAAATTCTTTACTCCTCTCAGTGTTTTCCCTAAGAACCGGCTAACGTAAACGGCCAAATTGAACACTTCGATTGATAAAAATGCTGCCTAGAAATCAAAGTTTGTTATAAGGTTAACATAGTACTGTTCATTAATATCAAGCCTTAGCCTGTAACAATCAATCATTAACCCTTTACTTTAAAATAAAGGGAAAACACTGTCCTCTATTACACACTCTTGTAGCTGACATCTGCACAAAAGCGGGTTGGACCGAATTATCTTGCAAACCAAAATGGAGTATAAATAAACGAAAGGTTTGATGAACTCAATTTCGGGTCCAGGAGGGCTATTAACAAGTTACAACACTTTTAAGGAATGTTTTGTTGTGGAAACAGTGGAAGAATATGTTGGGAACACACGGTTAGTGATATTTTGAGATGACATTTTAAAAAACATGGAGAAATATTATAAATCTAGAAACAGCTCACTTTTTTGTGTGCAATAAATATACACTACAGTTTTTTCAATGGTTGGCACTGTAGCTCTCCGATCTGTCAATGTTTTTTTTTCGGGGAGTACAGTTCTGCAGCTAAAATTGTAAGACAAGTCGTGAGGACTCAATAGTCTAAGACCCTTTCACGTTAATTGCGGTACTAATCTTTTGCATGGCAAATTAATTTGTTTTGGTGAAATATGACTTAAAAGCAATTGTTTAAGTATGACATTTAGTTATCTATCAACAAAAACTTTGCCAAAGCTTAATATGGTGATGGTGAGATACTTTTCAGTCTTAATTTAGATGCTACGTATAGACTCTGACGTCACATGACATCGTATGTTACTTTACATCACTTGTTTACTAAATCAAAATCTGAATATTGCGAATTTTATTAAAAAATAATTCAAATTCATTAAAATAGAGGGATTTTTCTCTTGGAATGAGAACATTGTTTGCAATAAGATGCATTTTGCTAAAGATTATGGACTACAGGTAACTGCGGAAAATATGCAAAAGCCAAATTTTCCTCTTTGCCCAGGCGTTGCTTTAAAAGCTTACAGTGATGAGCATCACTTTGCTGCGCTCGCTGTTAATATTGCCCAGCAAAAGAGTAGTGCCGCAGCTGTTGTGAAAAGGCTAATAGTCAGGTCCAGTACAATCTCTTGATTTAGCTATAGAACTTAATTTAGCTATTTAGCTTTATTAAGCTATACAGAATAGCTTAATTTAGCTATTTTATCATACTATTTTCTGAAATGTGTAATTTTTTCAGCTTGTGCTTAAAGTCGCACCTTGGTGCAGTGATGATATTTAACCTTGAACTCTTCTGAAATTGATGCATTTAAAAATCATTCATATAAACCATAAACCACGCCTCATTGAGAGACTTTGTACTCAAAGTTCTAAAAGTTTTAAATAAAGCAATTGATACAGTTACTTCTATAATGAAACTAAAAGGAGGCCAATTATGGTCAACAAGATAATTGAGTGGTAATAATTCAGTACCATGAGAAGCAATCATATGTATCATTGCCTCAACACACACACAAGGAAGGGGGCAGTTACTCGAACAATATTAATTTATTTTTTGCTTAAAACTTATCATATACTGCAAAGTTAGAACTATCTTTGATATTTGTTGTTTTGATAGCCTATAGAATATAGGAATAGTCAAATTACTCAATACATGTGACTTTTCTGTAAATCTCTATAAATACTTGATAAAAATTCTGTGGTCATAGAAATACTAGCCATTTGAACATTGTAGGCATTATCTAGGAATGCATTTGTAAACAAAGTAGCCAAGCTCTTTGAAAATGGCTAGTGGAATTGATATTTGAGTAATAAACTACTAGAAGAGGGAATGAATGAGGGTGAAACTTTTTTTCCCCAGATTGGTTTCCACACTAGCAACTTTTTATTCTGTTAAAAATATAATAAAATTTGGAATATGTGGCTACTTCAAAACGTGTGCTTGCAGAACTGAAAACTGTCATTTCGATTTTATGTGGCCTTATTGCATGGAGTCTTGTCTGTTATCCATTCAGCAGGTTTAATTTTTTTTCAGCTTCTTCTCTGATGATAAATAGGCTGTGGTACAATCTGACAACATGAGTGCCCAGCAGATGTTAGCTGTGCTCCGGGACCTGGGCTATCCCAAGGCCGGCAAACTGGACCCCAAAGGTCTGGAGTGGATGTTTGAAAATGATGCAATGCTGCCATTTCTGGAATGGTTCTGCAACAGCATCAGTGCTGCGAATGTTCTCACCAAGGAAGAAATGGAACAGTAGGGTTTATCTGTAGAAAATAATACCTATATTTACCTATATTTACAATGCTTCTAGGGTATCAATAAAATATAAAAAGTTTTTAACATGTTATTCAAATAAATCTCTGATTAGAAGGTGCCATGTAGCTAGAGAATTAAAATTTTTTTTTAATGATTAGTATATATTTCCATTTTTAATCTTTCTCTATGTGATAATAACTCTTTGAAAATTAGCGGAGTTGATTTCTTGATAATTCTACCGGGATGTAAATTAGGCATGTCGATAGGTCAGGAGCTAAGGAGGCCTTGTATGCATGCAAATCTCGTGCGCATCTGTCAGTGTCTGACGCTAAGGAGGCCAAATATGCATTTAAATCTTGTACGGCTGCCTTTGTGTTTGACGTCAGTGGGTGAGGACTATTGAAATTGGCATGGGAGTCCTGTGTAATTTAAATCTATGTCTACATTTTTAAAATCTAAATCTACAATTGTATTTCACAGTGAAATGGAAATATAAGGCATCACTGTCTAGTTAGTATAGTATGCCAGGGACATCAATGATGGTGGGAAACATGGGATATTTATTACATAACGAGCTTTGCCTGTTATGCAAATTATCCTATGTTTCCCACTATCGTTGATGCCCTGGCATACTATACTAACTAGACAGTGATTCCTTAAATGTGCTAATCACTTAATGTCATGTAATCGAAGATGTTACACAATTTTTGTCGAATCCGAAAACGTCGCCAAAGCGCTGACTAAAGGGGTTTAAGGTACGGACAGCAAAATAACAATGAGACTTTCCAGTTTGGTTTCTTTCTTACGAGTTTACCCAAAGTATTAAGTATTAACATACCTTTAAGTAAGTAAAGTAATAAATGAAAAAAAGTTTTTATGATATATACATTTTAAGCATGTTAAGTTTCTGTAAATTGTACAACTGTTTTAATACAAACATTGGAATTATTTTCATACTGAAATTTTATTTTTTGGATCATAAAAATATCTTGGCAATTAACCAGGTTATTTTAATATGATTTAACAGCTTGTTAAATGTCTTTTGAAAATAAATATAAGTTGTAAACATATTTTTAAATTTGTTCAAACTGTTAATTATGTTTTTTACTTTTAGTCTTAGAAAATAAAATGAAAATATCTGTGTAGGCATATTGATAAAAATTCGCAAATGAGTACTTGTTAATTATAACAAAAATCTTGCCAAGGACAAATAAACTGTTTATCAAACAATGACTTTTATATAAAGTACATGTGAAATAATATTGTGTAGAATAGTTAGGTCAGTCAACATGGTCAACAGCTTTACTTCTCATACGCTTTCTTAATAAATAACTGTCTAATTTTTTGGTTTCCTGATGTGATCAATCGAGTGGCTTGTGTGATAATTTGCCTTCGGCATTTATGCATAAAATTATCACGCTAGCCAATCCATTGATCATCGTCACGAAAACAAAAAAATCCTTATATTTATATGCTGCATTTTGCAAATTCATGTGCGACGAGACTGAAGTCCTGCCTCTGTCTCTATTTGTCCCGCCTGCATGTTATTTTTTTTAAAACGGCGCCTATAGATGAACCAGTAGATTTATATAGAAACAAAATATTTTTACTATTTGTAATTATGCCCCCCTTTGAAGAGGGGAGGGCATATTGCTTTGCTGCTGTCTGTCGATAGGTCTGTCTGTCTGTCCACCATCAGTTTCCGTTCATTTTCTCCGCAGAGGTTGCACATATTGAAATGAAATTTTGTATGTAGCTTTATCATAAGAATATCTAAGTCAAATTCTGTTTTGGGTATGATCGCACCATTTTTAACAAAGATATGCCCCTTGAACTTAGAAAAATTCCAATTATTTGCAGTTTCCGTTCATTTTCTTTGCAGATGTTGCACATATTGAAATGAAATTTGGTATACAGATTTATAATAAGAATATCTAGGTTAAGGTCTGTTTTGGGTTACATTGAGCCCTTTTAGTCAGAGTTTTGCCCCCTTGGACTTACAAAAATTCGAATTCTTTGGGGGAGGGGGCATAAGTGTTTTACTAACGTTTTTTCTAAATTATATATTTTGCAAGACCCCTGTATTATTTTAAATGACTGTCCTATAAACAATTTACTTATTTGTACATTTATTAAATTCTATGCATGAAGGAACTGACAAATAGATTTTTTTAGGCACTTTTGAAAATCAAGGGGGGATATAATGATACATATGTCCATCCATCTGTCTGTATGTACTTCCATTTGTTATGCTTTGGGGTACCCATTTTTTATCCACAACTCTTATACCACTGAATGAAAATGATACTTTCATATGTTTATATATGTATATTTAGGTTCCATTCATTAGAAAGTGCAAAGGAAAGCATTTTGGAAGGTGAACAACTAGATCAGGCATTGAAAAACTTGAAGGTTTCTCAGAATGAACAAGTACCTGTGGCACAGTTAGAGTAAGTTGGTTCTCTTTAAAACAACAAACAAACAAAGACAAATAAAATGATTAAACCGTCAAATCCATAAACTTAAAATTCACATTCACATTCAGCTTGGTCAAAAGTAAAGAGGCGTTTTAAGTGAATTTTATCTGAAGCAAAATTTTGAAAGAAAAATTATCTACTATTATTGTTATACATGTAAGATACTGTTAAACGTGTCAGATTGTTGAGAATTAATTTACCGGGGTACTGTTACAGACAAGAGGTAGAACAGTTAAGAGAGAATTTGGAGAGATGCAGAACAAGAAAGCAAAGTCTGATACAAAAGAGGAACAAGTTAAGGTAAGCCTGGTAACTTTTAAGATTAGAGTTATACCTTTTCATTCTAAAGTCAGCAGGATAAAAAACATATTGAGATAACTGCGTAATTGAGATATCAAGATCAAATTGCTTGAAAAACTGACTTTCTTGTTCTGTGATATTCCAGATACCTGTGTTTTACTATATTTGTGTTGAAACACTTCAGAATTAGGCTCATGTAATTCAAAATGAATTTTAATTCATGATCAAATGTATTTTGGACCATTTCCCCCTCCTTTTTTTGTTTTACAAAAAATGATAGCATCCTGCCTCACAACTTCAATCTCAATGGGACTTAGAAAAAGCTTCAAGATATCTAGATCTGTGAATTTGAGATATTAAGGGTACACAATAAGCATGTCTGGGACCTCCCAATCCATGGTCTTTGAGATACTGATGTTTAAGATACCAAAAGTCATATACTTGAATACCATGGATACGTCGAAGTGATTTGGAAGTCCCAACAACTTATTCTTTAAGTATTTTACCTTCAATATCTCAAATCATCAGATATATCGAAAGTTTTTCCTCGGTCCCATCAAGTTCAAGATAACGAGAATTGACTGTATACTGTAGAAGTACTTTTTTTCCGCATGGTATTAAATTACGCTATGTACGCGGTCAAAAATTGTCTGCTGAAATTTGTCTCACCGTACTTATAAATACTTGTCAGGAATATAGTGAGAGTGTAAGAAATCTGCGTAATTTTCTACCAGCAAATCAAAGAGAAATAGAGATCTCGCGGAATTATGATCTCTTGAAAAAAAAGTACTTCTACAGTATATAGTGTGTTTCATACAAGTTTGATTATGTTATATGATCTAGTCTTCATCACACGTCACTGAGCCACAGACAATCCAAACTTTCCCAGACAGAGGCTAGAGTCAAATCCCAGTACAAAAGAAGTTTGGAGCAAAACAAAACAGATAATGATAAAGTAAGGACGACTGAAATAGAATAATTTGTGTGTAGAAACTAGTGAGTTAATGAGTGAGATTTTAATCTTATATTAATCTTTAGAATTAGAGAGTAATGTTTTTCATGTTTCTTCTAAAACACTATATCAAAATTAAGATTAAATTAATACCATAATCATTGTCTTCATAATTCAGCAGGTTTAATTGATACTGCAATATATATAATGTACAGATATAATACATAAACACACATAATATAGCCCTGGAATGAATTCATTTTTAGGTGAATTCTAGTTTGGAGCACCTGGCAGAGCGTGTGGGACAGCTGAGTGAAATTTACGAGTTACCTGTCCAGGAGAAAAGTAAGGAGGCTGTTCCAATGTTCCTGTCTCAACTAGCACTAGACGAGTACTATCTAAAGGAGGAAAAGTTCTCACAGGAGTTATCTCTCTTTACAAAGAAGAAATTTTTTGAGGTGAGACATCAGTCTACTTTCATAATGATTTTGAATAGAGTTTTAATTTAATTGATCAGATGAGAATACTTATATATTATTTCATTTCCGTGTCCACTGTGCAGAAATTTTCAACTTAAATACATTTTGATTAAAGGGCATAGCTGATGTAGCTGGCCAAAGTGAGGGCTCAAGATACGAAATACTGGAAATCAGTGACCCCAATCTGTCCTTGATTAGAGGTGTAGGTCAAGAGGTCAACATCAGCCAGTGCAAAGAATTGTCCAGAATCAAGAAGAGGTCAGATTTAAACAAAGCTTTTATTTCAAAACGACTTAAAAATCTTATTATTTGATTACTGTACTTGTACATAGATTGGCATATTTAAAATTTAGAGCAATCACTGGGTGTTGAGTTGTTGGCGTATTCATGAAATAGTGCTTCACACTTTTGCCCCTTATATTGTATTTATGTATTATTTCTTAGTGGTATTCACAAATTAGCGCATAAATGTTTGTGCCAAAGCCGCTAAAATATGAAGCCTGCTTTTTAAAGTACACATACAGTATTGAATTTCATGTGAAAGTCTGAATAAGAATTTTTAAATGCAGTTATCCTGCTGCTAAGCTGAAACACATTGAAGCCAAGATAGCCAGTGTCCAGTCAGAACGACGGCTGGAAACAGCGGAGGATATTCTGAAAACGGTTCAAGCTGGAGAGTTCTCCAAGGACTGTAACTCTATAAAGTAAGTACATACTCTGTCACTCACACATCAATAAAATGTTAAGTCTTCATTTTTAGCTCTACTGGTCTTCGACCAGAAGAGCTTATGCGATAGTAAGGTGTCCATCATCCATCCGTCTGTCTAGCTGTCTGTCTGACTGTGTAAACAATTTTTCAAAATGCTTCTCATCCTACAGTTTTGGACTGATTTCAATATAACTTGGCACACAAGTAGACTAACTAAGATACATAATTCTGTATACTGTAAAACGAGAATATTTGGCACAATACTGATTTTAGCGCCTTTGGCACAAGAGCCCCTGAATGCTAAAATTTATTGTGCTCTAACGGAATTCTAAAAATTATTTTGTTGTCTTTGTTCAACGCTTTCACATAAGTACATATAAACCGGAATGCACAATTACGCAATGTCGAAGGGTCGTTGGATTTTATATACACACTAGCAGTGTACATGGTAAGATCAATCGAGAAAGTTCTGCCAAATCATAATTTATTTAATTAAACTATTGTTAGTTGTTACCCGATACTTATCATTAGCACCTTCAAAGTCTGGCTTCTCGGCGTGTCAATCATCTATTGCCTCGAGGTAAACAAAGTAAAAAGTAACTTTCCTTCTATGCATGCTTTGTTTTAATATGAATAAAATGCGTGAATACTCCATTTCTTTTATTTAAAATAAAATTAAATTAAAATTTAACACTGTGCCACGTCTATGTGATTGCAACACCAGGGTAAGTTGACTTCCGTGCTTGACTAACCAAAAAGTCAAATACGGGCGTGGATTAAAAAAATAGTATCATATTTATATATTTTAATGACAAGTGCAAGCGCTAAATTTTATTTGCGCCAATGTATTCCCAATTGCGTTTGCGCTAAAATACGTATGCGCCAAATTTTCTTGTTTTACAGTATCAGTTTTTTATTTCAATGAACAGTGTTTTCAAGGTTACTAAAAAAAAAAAATTTCTTCGAAATATTCTCAAAAGCTACACCTATGTGTCTACAGTTTTGGTTTGATTTCAAAATAACTTAGTACACAAGTAGACTACACTAAGATACGTAATTCTACGTCTTGGTTTTTGATTTCGATGAACAGTGTTTCCATGGTTACTATTAAAAAATAGAAAATTCTTTGAAATATTTTCAAAATGCTACTCCTTGTACAGTTTTGGTCTGATTTCAGCTAACCTTGCCCCCCCCCCCCAAAATGGCTAAACCAATTATTAATTTTTAATTTATTGCTGTTGCAAAGTTTCAAGTTTAAATGCAATTCTTCTCTTCCTTGTTATAAGTATAAACCAGTAGAGCTACAGTCTCGTCAGAGACTTCTAGTTGTAACCAAAAAGTACGGTGGTGTTATTATGACACATTATTATTTTTGACAAGTAAGCGATAAATTTGTATATCACTGTTATGTTACAACTTTTACTATGAATCCATTTTCCTTCTAATTACCTTTTATCTTTCAGATAACATTGATTCTATATATATTATTGGTCATAATATGAAATAAATGCATTAGATTTTACTAAGATAAAATTCTCTGTTTGTGTTTAACTTCAACTGAACACGGTTACTTTTCTTCGACCATTTGGCCAATATACATCTAGGAAATAATTGGTGTCATCTTTTAAAGTACAGCAAGATTAAAAGATTGAGTAAAAAGTGTTTCCATGGTTACAAAAAAATATGGCAATTTTCAAAATGCTACTCCTTGTACAGTTTTGGTCTGATTTCTAATTCAAAAAAAATTTATTAATTTTTAATTTATATCTGTGCAAAGTTTCATGCAATTTTTCTCTTCCTTGTTATAAGTATAAACCAGTAGAGCTACAGTCTCATCAGAGACTTCTAGTTGTTAGGGTACGGTGGTGTTATTTTGACCGATTATTTTTTTGTATGTAAGATTTGTATATCACTGTTATGTTATGCTAAACTTTTACTGGATCCATTTTCCTTCTAATTACCTTTTATCTTTCAGATAACATTGATTTTATATATATTATTGCAGCGATTTTTTTTTGGGAAAGGGTCTCTTTTGGGAAAAATAACTCAAAGAACAACTTTTTCTCTCATTTAATCAAATAAAACGTATTTTGTGCCTATTCCAACCCCTATAACATTCGTGTTTTAGACACATTATTTTTTTTATCAATGTCCCATTTTTCCACATTTTCATGCTTTCATAGTTGTCAAAATGATAAACTCGCTGTTTATTAAAATTATTTGTTAGTTTACTGAAAATTCATATCATTGTTTCATTTAAAAAGCGATTTCATCATTGTTGCCACAGTTGAATAATTTTTGGTCACAAAATATAAATGGTTGGGAGGTGGATAAATATACATATTGGCCATTAGATTTATAAGATATGTGTGTTGGGTAACTTCAACTGAACACGGGGTATTTTCGACCATTTGGCCAATATAAAGGAAATAATTGGCATCAGCTCTTTTAAAGTACAGCAAGATTAAAAGATTGAGTGAAAATACTGACAAAAAAGATGGCAATTTTCAAATTGTACATGTATCTAATTCAAAGACATTTAGTGCACAAGATGTCTATGACGCCGATTTTTGACTTTGTTAAGACATCCTACAAATGTACATATACGGGCATCTAAGCTGCATGTAAACAAAACAAATGATTTTTCACTATTGTAGAACTAGTTTCTACCAAATATTCATGTACATAATACTTATCCTAATATTTTTTTATGAACGGTCGGGAATTCTTTCTGGTAACAGATAGTATATTGTGTCATTTTTCATTGGTCGAAGTTACCCACTGACGCTGTATTCATGTAGGGATAACTTTGGCCAATTTCTGTTCAGCTGATTTGCAATTTGCAAAAACTAAATGCTATAAATTAAAAGGGCATGAATTTCATTTTCAAAATCATATTTGATAAATGTCATCCCAGGGATATACATTGATTGTCTTTCCATACAGGATTTTTCTGAGGTGATAATTTGCCCTAGTGGCTAAAAATTGACTTGTCTGTAATTTTTTGGGTGATAAAGCCTTTTCTTGGATGTACTTTTCCAATAAAGATCTTAATAATGCTCATGGAAATAAAATTATTATCAACACAATATATTAAAAACATGTTTTCTTTTTGCATAATATAAATGTACATACTCAATTCTATGCCAGAAACAAAATTTTTTAAGGTATTTATGAACGGTCAAAATTAATCAGGTGGTGGAAATTACACCACCCTACCCTAATGTCAATCAGTTAACATTCTACACAAATGAAGATCTTAAATTTCACTCAATAATTTAAAAACAAAAATACAATTGAGTTTCAGTGTATATATAAATTCAGTGATTCTTGCATTTCTCTGGCAAACTAGGATTCTCCCTCTTTCAGATCATATGTCCTATACATTTTAAGAAAAAAATATTATTACAAGAAGTGTTAGATAAGTTGGTGAAAGATATAAATTCTGAAGTATATGATCTTTTATTCAAAACTATTGAATTTGCACTGGCAGTCTAGTAAAGATGATTTAAGGAGGAACAGGACCTTTAGCTTAAAAAATTCCTGTCAATTAATTTTTTTTAGTATTTTTTATACTACTAATTTACTATGTACTTTTAAACATTTTCAAACGGTCCTATCATTTGATTTCTTGATTTGTTTAAAAGATATCGCCCCACAAATACCCCCTGTTTAGAGTTTGCATGGAGTCTTCATGTTTACGGGCCCATAACGGAGTCCATAATGCAAATTCTTAGGCACAGCATGTCTTAGATAACACTATTTCTCTATTTCAGGATATTCATAGTGTTTAAATTATCTGAAAGCAATTGTTTTAATTTTATATAGTATTTGGATGGGATAATTTCTGCATTTTTTAAGGCAGCTTCAACGACAAAAACCTCATTTGGAAAAAATTCTGTCAATAAATATTTCTAAATTTACGATTGAATGTCAGTCCTTCATCGTAATTATTTACATAAATATCACAGGGTGAAGCTTACCTCAATATCGCACAGGACATTTGAATTAGACGTAAGCATGATAAAAACGCTTCACGTTGCCATGGTTATTAAAATAATTGTGACGTCACACAAAAACATAAACATTCAAAATTATCTAAATAAAGATAATCTCTGCTACAAACACGAAAAAATATTATTTCAAAAAAATCTGCTGGCAGAAATTTATCACGATACTTTGACTGTGACCTGTTTATTATAATTATGATCATGACGGGTGTGTGTACTTGATTTCAACTGAGAATTCAAACACTTTCTGCACTGACGTCAGGAAACAGGGTAAAGAGAAACAAATGTGTGGATTGGGCATTTCACAATATCTAAATGATGCTAAATTTTATTGATAAAAGTTTCTAAAATTAAATGTTTAAAAAACAATTTTAGAATTTAGAATAAAATTACTCAAGGACTGTTGATTTTAACAACGTTTTTTATGTATATCATCACCGATTATGACGTAATGTGTCTTTTTAGTCATGTGACATGTGCCCTGTCTCCCCTTAAGTTGTGTCCTGCCAGGCTTGTACATGTAGTTTGAAACAAAAAGACTTTATCCAATGACTTCTTTTTGCAGTAAACGTTTGAGTGATGCTGATTCTTCCTTACAAATGGTACAGAGAGAGCTGGAGAGTTTGGGTGGAGATGAAGTCCCGGGATTGATTCAGGACAGCATGTCTTCCCAGGTCTCTCACATCCTGACAGGGGACTACAACCTTAAACTGGCCAGACAGGATTACTTCATCTCCAACCAGGACCAGGTGACAGTAATCAAAAGATTTTACCGTATGTCTACCTAAGACTAAGTAGATCAAGCAGACTACACTTAGATACAAAATTTTGTGTATCGGATTTCAAAGAACAGTGTTGCCATGGTTATTAAGGGGGCCGACTATAGTTTCCATTGCCCAATATTTCGCGCATCATAGTAAAATGAAGCATATTTAGTGTTTAAATGCAACTTTTTTCGCTTAATTATTAAAATTAAACAAAATTAAGAAATTATAGGTATTAAAATCTAATTAAAATTTGATATAACTGATTTTTTAACCGATTTAGCAATTGATAGGTAGGTTGACGTCGTTGCAGTGTGTTTTTGACGTTATGATAATCTGTAGCTCTTAAAGAAATGGGTAATAAAAATATCATTAAAGAAAAGGTAATAAACATACGCTCTTGAAATTTTAAACATAGAAATTTGAGAATATCTCCAATATTTGTATTATGTTTTCATGTGAATCCTTTGTGTACGTCATTCTTTGGAATACTCAGTAAAAATAGTAAAATTTGCTCATTTTTGCATTTTGAGATGCCCCCTCTATATAAATTTAATTTTGACTTTCACATATATTGTATAATATAGTATTACTCATCAAATATTATAGTTTGAACAAAATGTCTATTGTAGTATTTGTAAAATTTGCTTTAAAGTGCTAAAAATTGGCATTTTCCTATATAATCCTATAGTAAATGTACCTGTATATTGAGACGGACCCTCAAAAATACCTGGATGGTAGATTTTCCCCAAACTTTGCACGTACACTGAAGTTAATGTAAGTTATATATGGTATAAAAATGAAGAGTTTCGCTATTGTAGTTTTCACACAATAAAACGATAGTCGGCCCCCTTAAAAATAAAAATTTCTGCTAAATCCTTTCAAAATGCTAATCCTCCTACAGTTTTGGTCTGATTTCAATACAACTTGGCATACAAGTACACTTATATAAATACATACATGTAATTCTGTTCATTGGTTTTTTATTTTGATTAATGGTTTGCTGTGGTTACTAAAAATAGTAATTTCTGTGAAATACTTTAAAAATTCTACTACAAATACAGTTTTACATGTAATCTGATTATAATATAATTTGACATAGACTACACTTGGATACATAATTATCTTTTTATTTTTTTTTTTTAATTTTGATGAATGATGTTGCCATGGTAACTAAAATTAAAAATTCTGTAAAATTTTATTAAAAGATACTCCTACAGTTGTAGTCTTATTGCAATCTTGCCACAAAAAGAGACTTAATCAGGGTATCGTGATTCTATCTATTGTTGTTGTAAAGTTTCAAGTCTGAATCGCTACTTTTCTCTTCCTTCTTTATAAGTAAATACCAGTAGAGCTACAGTCTCATCAGAGACTTCTGGTTGTCCAAGCGTTGCTCTTCCAAAATTTGTTAATTTTAACCACTAGAGCTAAAGTCTCATCAGAGACTTCTGGTTGTCCAAGCATTGCGCTTTCCTTTCTTTGTTAGAGGGGTTAACCACTAGAGCTACAGTTCATCAGAGACTCTTTGTCCAAGCGCTGCTCTTTCCCTTCTTTGTTGGGGATTAACCACTAGAGCAAAGTTCATAAGACTTTGCAAAATTGCGCTTTCCTTTCTTTGTTAGAGGGGTTAACCACTAGAGCTAAAGGGTTCGACACTAACAGTTGACCGGTGGCCCGAGTCCACCAAAAAATTAGAAGATCCACCAAATGTTCTGGACTAGGTGGACCGTCGGTCCACTTAAAATTTAAACACCGTATTAAAAAAAAAAAACAGTGAAATTCCAGGTTAAATCCGTAACTCAAATTATTGATTCCTCCATACCTGTATTTTTACAAAAAATAAATATACATGTAAATAATGTTTAAGGTAATCAGGGGGACCTAGCAACTCGATATATTTTACATGTTAAATTGATAAATAATATTGAGACGCAAGAACATACAACATGGACCTTGAATAACAAGCATAAAACATCCGTGCCAAATTAACCCTTCTGTTTACGTAATGTACAGAAAGGTGTGAAAATCGCTTTACGCCTGAACGCACACAGTTGGAGATAATTAGAATTGATTGACAGCTGCATTTATGCATTTTTTTTTTAAAATAGATGTTCAAATAGGTGTTATCTGCAGTTTCATTTGTTCTTGATATATATTATACTTGATAATTGATTAATACACATACATATTTCTATCTCAATTTTGCACCGTACTAGTTAAAAAAAAAAGATCTAGCCATAAATATATGAAAAATTCACTTGTTTAATATTTGAACAAATTAATTAATAATAATTTTACATAGAAGCAAAATAAATGCAGGTTTTAGGTTTTCACCATTGTAACATATTGATAATAATTTTAAAAATAATTTTTTTTTGGTTTGTAGATTAATACGTTTTTATTTTTAAGTTCAACAATATTTCTGACAAAAGAATCTTACTAGTATATTGATTTGAAATGTTGACTGTAAAATTTTATTAGTCTGACTGGAATTGGTATGTATTAAAGTTAACTTTAATTAATGCCTAATGTAATGATTCACTCATTAATTCAAACATTTATAAAGGTCCACAGATATTGAAGAGACCAATGATTTTTGACAATTGGACCTGCAGTCCACCAAGGTGTTGTGTGAACCCTGGAGCTACAGTCTCATCAGAGTCTTCTGGTTGTCCAAGAGCTGCTCTTTCCTTTCTTTGTTAGAGATGTTAACCACTAGAGCTATAGTTTCATCAGAGACTTCTGGTTGTCCAAGCACTGCTCTTTCCTTTCTTTGTTAGAGGGGTTAACCACTAGAGCTATAGTTTCATCAGAAACATCTGGTTGTCCAAGCGCTGCTCTTTCCTTTCTTTATTAGAGGAGTTAACCACTAGAGCTACATTCTCATCAGAGCTGCTCTTTCCTTTCTTTGTTAGAGGGGTTAACCACTAGAGCTACAGTCTCATCAGAGACTTCTGGTTGTCCAAGCGCTGCTCTTTCCTTTCTTTGTTAGAGGGGTTAACCACTAGAGCTACAGTCTCATCAGAGACTTCTGGTTGTCCAAGCGCTGCTCTTTCCTTTCTTTGTTAGAGATGTTAACCACTAGAGCTACAGTCTCATCAGAGACTTCTGGTTGTCCAAGCGCTGCTCTTTCCTTTCTTTGTTATAGGGGTTAACCACTAGAGCTAATGTGTCGAGAGTTTTCTGGTTGTCCAAGCATTGCTCTTTCCTTTCTTTGTTAGAGGGATTAACAACTAGAGCTACAGTCTCATCAGAGACTTCTGGTTGTCCAAGCGCTGCTCTTTCCTTTCTTTGTTAGAGGGGTTAACCACTAGAGCTACTGTCTCATCAGAGACTTCTGGTTGTCCAAGCGCTGCTCTTTCCTTTCTTTGTTAGAGGGGTTAACCACTAGAGCTACAGTCTACTGTCTTGTCAGAAGTTCCTGGTTTTTCTCTTGTTGGAAGTCGTATTCTGGCACCTGTTGTTGATTGATGTATTTTTGACATTATGGACCCCACAGTCCAATCATTTCAAATGGTTATAGTACATTGCTAGTGAAAATACCTTTAAAAGGTCAATTTTGTACCCATGTGTACAAAAATAAGCCTCACAGCACACCTGTTTTTGATAAATCTTTTCTTGACATTATGGACTCCCATGATCCAGTCATTTTGAATAGTTTAGAGTAAAAGCTTAGTAATAATTTTTAAAGAAAGTAATACTGTAACAGTGGACTCCTGCTATTACAGTGACGGTTTTATAAGATAGAACGCTTAATAAGTTATAAATTCAAAGCACAATACCATTTCTTAACAAATCTATACAAAATAGAACCATTTATTATGTTTTCACAGGGCTCTCGATTCTCTAAATCTGGGGCCGATATTCGGCCCCATTCCCAATGCAAAAAAGGTAGCTTTTTTCCCAACATGCCCAAAGAATGGTGTAAATTTCCCAATTTCCATAGCAAAATATCAATTAAAAAATAAAAGTCCATGAAACTTATTTGCAAAAAAACTCCAAACAAAACACACTTGCAAATGAAAGTGAAACTGTACTACTATTTTATTAGTTCGCGCCAAATGCATTCGTAAACTGGTTCAAGGAACCAGGTAATTGTTTTTACAAAAATGTGTGCTAACTATTAGTGTAAAGTAACTTGTCATGTAGTTTCGACAAAAAACATCATTTTGGTTTCAAAAATAGACATTTCATTTAAACTTTAGTAAGCTGCACCTAGAAACATACCCATGCTTTGGGATGTTCAGTCTCGCACTGTATTGGTAAGCAAAGTTGTCCGTGTGATCGAGGAAATTTGGGACTATGTGACTAGCGACTGTCACTCAGAAAGACATATAACCGCAATTATCAACACTCAAAGATAGTAATGACAAAGCTAATGTACTTTCATAAATAGCCTACGTACCCATGTTTGTTCTGTTTAACTGTTTATTCAAAACCAGAGTTAAATTGATGACAAAATGCTAGAAAGCAAAATTTGAGGATTTTTTAAAATGAATTTTGGTTATTCGACTTTTCCCAAAATGACGATAATTTTCCCAATTTGAATGGCCCTGGCCCCAGTCCCAAAAAGTGGTGTGAGAGCCCTGTTTCAGAAAACGCCAGAACTCGGTATTACGATGTAAAAATTTGGAGACTAAATCAAAGTGTCAAAGTGTTTTAATTAAGATGTTTAAGATAGAATGGAAGAAGAATCAAAAATACACCTCCATACACTGATATTAAGCTTTCAAAACAGTGTATTTATGGATTTTATTGGGAATTTTATTATGTTGCCCTTGATATTACAATATTTTACCTTGACAAAATGAACATTGTAATAATGAGAGTCCACTGCATCACTTTTCCTTGAAACATGGTAAGGATCAGCTACTGGTACATGCATCTGATGAAACCAATTATTTTCTTGAAAAAAAAATTAAAAGGGGTAAAAGCGTATGTTGAAACTTGATTATTTTAACTTTTAAAGGTTATACATCCCTTAGTTCAACAGCGAGCTAGGAATGAATTTCTGACAATGGCATTTGAACTTGAGAACCGTAACCATCGAGACATCCATCGCTTGCTGGTGGCCGTCAAGCAGCTGTTACACAACCATTTAAAAGGATGGCAGGCCAGGATGGTAACAAATTTATTGGCAAAATTTATAAGGATAAAAAATTTAAAGTGAATAAATAATAATAAAACTTTATGCATATGTATACATGTATGTGTAAAGTGGCGTAAAAAAAGCAGAGTTGTCAAATTCCATCAGTCCTTTTGAAAAGGCTGGTAAATATTTGTGTTGACCAGTAATTTACAAGTCCTAGATCACATTTTTCTAGAAAAGGGACAGGATTAAAGTTTCTGGAGCAGGTCCATTCCAAACAATTATAAGCCGTATGTGGACCAAACTTGCATGGGTGATGCATTTACGCAGCAAACCTAGGTCTACATAAAGGGGCGTGGGTCAATTTAAATGGGAAAAGCTTACTATTACGTCAGACAAAAATATCACTGTTCCATTTAAGAGATGATTTAAATTTTTTGAGAAATTCATTAGGACATGAACTATCATGCTTCATGATAAATATGCAGGCGTTAAGCTTTGTAGTTCATGTACCTCATGAATTCTCAAAAATAAATTCATATCTATATTTACATTTGTCACATACTTTTGTCATTGAACAATCATTTATGAAATGAAAATGTTGCACTTATTTTTTTACTCTCTTTTTTTCACAATGGAAATATTCTTACTCATCCCATGATAGTTCATGAGAACTTGAACCTTTTCTAATTTGCAAAGAATTTTGTAACATGAAAAACAATAAAAAAGTTTGTGACATAGAAATTATTTGTAAATGTTGATATTATGAAATGAAATCATTTGCGGGGTTGAATTGTAAAGGAGTGTTAAACAATGCATAAAAACTTATGATTCTAATTTATTTTTGTCTTGAGTTAAATCCCACACAAAGTGAACAAGATGTATACATGTATAAACAGGTCACTGATCGCAATGTACTTTTTGACATGATGTCGTGGAAATATTTTATATGCTGAGAGTGGGGAAGAATTGATTGTTTCACAGTGAAAATTGTAAAATGCATTTTATAAATAAACAATACTTTTAACAGGCATTTATTTAGAAAATGAATCCCTATGTTTAACATTATTTAAATGCCAGAATTTACGAATCGAGAAAGTGTATTAAATTCATAAATCTTTTTTTTGTGCAAACTGCAAAGGAATGTCAAGTTTAAAAACAACGTGCCTCAATAAATCGCCCATAGTGCAAGGGCATACACATTTTTAAATCATATTTTGACCATTTTTAGCTCACCTGAGCCAAATGAGCTTTTCTGATAAAAATTTGTCCGTTGTCTGTTGTTGTTAACTTTTCACATTTCATCTTCTTCTCAAGAACAACTGAGCCAGTTTCAACCAAACTTGCCAGAAAGTATCCTTGGGTGAAGGGGATTCAAATTTGTACAAATGAAGGGCCATACCCTCTTCCAAGGGGAGATAATTATGAATTATTGAAAAAATTAATACAAAAAACACAACAAAAAACAAATTCAGTTTTAACAAGAAGTCTTTTATGAAACACTGAAGCCCCCATATGGCAGCTTATAGAAAGGGTTGAAGTTTATAAAATGCAAAACAAACTCCAAGGTCAAGGTCAAAAGGTCAAGACTGTGGGATTTGTCATGCACATTTGTGAAATATGAAAGCCCTAGTACTAGCTGTTCACAAGTTACAAGTGGCCAAGGTTGAAGTTTTTTAAGCTCACCTGAACTGAGAGCTCAGTTGAGCTTTTCTGATCACCCTTTGTACTTCTGTCCATTAATCTGTCTTTCTGTCTAAACTTTTCACATTTTCATCTTATTCTCACTGGACCAATCTCAACCAAAATTGACACATAACTTCCTTGGGTGAAGGGTTTTAAAATGAAGTGTAAATCCCACTGACAAGGAAAGATAATCAAGAAAAGACAATAATAAGGAAGAGATACTATAAAACATCTGCCTCTTAAGACACTAGCTAGGCCAAAGAAGCTGAAACCTATGTGGAAGCATCCTTGGGTAGTGTAGATTCTAAATTGTTAAAATTATTACCCCCAATGGTAGGACAGGGCTACAATAGGGAATCCAAGTTTTACATTGAAAGACACAAGAAAAATCTTCAGAAATCTTATTCTCAAAAACCATTGGTCCAAAAAAGTTGAAACTTATGTGGAGGCACCCTTGGGTAGTGTATAAGTCATGACCCCTGGGGGTAGTATGGAGTCACAGTAAGTATTAGAAGGGGGAAGTCTGGTAAAGAACAGCATGACCAAAGTTATTCAGGTGAGCAATGTGGCCCATCTGTGAATTATGTGTGATATCTAAACAAACTAATTAAAGTCACTTTTTTATTCCATTTAGAAAATGATGGAGGACCCTTTGTTAACAACAGCAAAATATAAAAGAAGCACAATAGACTCCAGGGACAGTTTTGCCAAACGATTACATCAAGTTTTGGGTAAACGTTGAGAATTTAGATTAATGATTAACAGTTTGTATAAGATATCCCCTTTGAGAATTTTTCACTCATATTAATACATGACCACTCGGTGGTGGATTGTCTGTACTAGAATTTCATACTTAAGTTGTCTATATGTTTTTATCTACCAAGGTACACGTAGTTTTCAGAAGAAAAAAACTCAGTCTGTCAAAAGTCCGTCAAACAAATCTGTGAAAATGTAAAAATTGTTTTCTAATTGGATTTTTTAGGTAAAATTTGATAATTGATAGTGACAGGAATGTGAAAAAATGGTACTTTTTTAATGGCCTGAGAGGTAAGAAAAATGAGTACAAAAATGCTGATTCAGACCCCTTGCCGAGACTGGTTTCCTGCTATTCCAACTATATTTCCTTCTGTTGAAAATCTTATTGAAAACACTATTAGGGATTCGCTAAACACGCAAACAACAATTACATGTGACAGTGAGCAATTAAAATTAATTCTATTTTCATGCTATAATTTGGTCTTTGATGTGAAAATGTGTGCATTTGCAATTAACACCCATCAATATGCTCAGTGATGTGTAACACTAATACCCCCATTATGGCACGTGCTGTTAATCATGCCCCGCGGGTGATTAAACCAACACAGCTGTCAACACTTTTTATACGCCCGTCTTAAGACGGGACGTATTATGTTATAGGCTTTGTGTCCGTCTGTCTGTTAGCTTTTTCGTTCCCGGCTCATAACTTTTATACTATTAGGCCTAGGATTATCAAACTTTGTCATCTGATGCATCTTGGGTAGAAGGTGTGTCGCGCACAAAAAGTAGGTCGCTCTGACCTTTTATTAAAAAGTTATAGCCAAATATGGAAAAATCCTTTCCGGCCCATAACTAGAAAACTATAAGACTTACAATCATCAAACTTGGCCAGTTTATGCATCTTAGGTAGAAGGTGTGTCGCGACCTATTTCAAGGTCACTGTGACCTTTAATTTAAGTGAAATTTAAAAAAATAAATGTGTCTTTTTACTATTCATTTAAGCATCCCAAATAATGTAAGAGTATTGCACTGTCCTTATTAAAAAAGTGTTAAATTAAGAAAATACTTATTTTTTTAAGCATACATGTATATTTGACAGCAATCTATAACAAATATAATGTATGTTAGAGAAATCCTACCTCTCCCTTGAGTGTAATTATCAAGCACTGGCCAAGAAAAATTTTGATGACAGAAATTTGCATGTCAAATTAGAGAGAAATTAATGAGTTTTGAGTGTGAGGATCTAACTGATAGAGCATTGGTGTTATCTTTATCCCTTGGGTATTGGGCAGATGGGTAAGCCTGGATTAAAAATAGCTCTTGTTGGCTATAACCTAAGTTTTAAAATGAATTTGATGAAAAGTAATTAAAACATTTGATATTGCATAGTAGACTAATCTGATATTATATGATATTATTATATAATTTTAAAACTAATTTTTAAATATAGGGTGGGGTGGAATCAGCATGTCCATATGAATTAAATATTAAAACCTGTCGGACATTAAATCTCAACCCAAAAAAAAATCTGAATATTTTATATGTTTAAAAAAAAATTTCTTGAAGATAGTGCAGACCCATTCATCTCTTGGTAGTAATAAGTAGACAAGCATCCAGTTAAAGATTAATTAATGAGTTCAATGTAGGAAGGCTATCTGATCAAGCAGTCTTATCTGTATCCTTTGGGGACTAGACAGAAGAAGTGCTGGTCATTTTATAGCATATGTCATTTGATGACCAGCCCTTTCTTTTCAAAATTAATTTGGTATAGATTAAGGTGTTAAGACTAATTTGATATTGTTTAATATGATGGGCATTTGACAAGGTCTTACACAACCAGCATAGAGTGATTTAATATTTATTATAATTAATGCCTACATCACAGGGAATGGATAAATATTTGAAGGAATGGAAAAATCATGGAAATCTTAGAATCAAGGTTGACATGATTTTTCTTGCATGCTAAACTGTTCAAGAAAATTATATTTGCTGTGGCGCGGCACTTTATTTGTTAGGGCTGTGTATTGAGCAAAAAATTTCGATATGATACAATATTTTTTAAAGCAATATGCGATACATGTATATATGAATTCTAAAACAAGTCCATCAAAAAAGGCTTATAATTATAAATCATTAAATGCATGGATTTCACAAAAAATTTAGTGTTTTATTATCCATTTCAAAGTTCTTATCTCATTGTCATTACAAATAACACTTCAAATTGAAACTTTTTATGACTGTAAATCAACATGATAAAATAAAATTGTTTCTGTATTTTCTAATAACTATAAAAACTGTGTTATTTGTTTAATAATTCTATAATTATTGATCAGTTTTGATTTTAAAAAAAATGAAATATATAAATCTTTTGTGATTGAAATTTCCATCTTTTTAACAGAATTAGAAGAAAAACTGCCTGTCCAATACGTATTGGAAGTTATTTTTTGATACGATATTTGAATATAGAATCTGATATGTATCGATATATTGACACAGTCCTACTTTTTGTACACAGTGTATATCCCTTTATCTGTCAGACAATTAAAATTCCATTAGGAGCCAAACTTTGTATAATTCATTTTATTAGTAAAGAATGAGATCTATACGAAATACATTTATGACTAGCGGTGTATTTGATAAATAAAAATTTGGGAATTACTGGCAACAATTTATTTCACACATTTTCCATTAAAAAATATCAGAAGACAATGAAAAAATAGTGAACTATTTCAATTCATCGTTACACATAAATGGTTAAAAAAAAAGAATTACTGTGGACGTACTTTTTTCCACGGGGTCATAATTCCGCAGAATCTCAATTTCTGTTTAATCCGCAAGTAGAAAATTACGCGGATTTCCTAGACTGTCACTATATGCCTTACATTTATATTAAGTACGCTTGGACAAATTTCCGCGGAAAATTTGTGACCGCGTACATAGCGGAAATTAATACCACGCGGAAAAAAGTACTTCTACAGTATTTTTGCAATTATACTTTTTGATATGATTGCGGTTTTACTTTTAGTGAATGTGCGCGACTTCCAACTTTTCAAGATGGTTTGCCATTAAACCTACACAAGGGTAAAAAGACAGAAGAATATGTTGTTAGGTCATTTGAGCCAAAGATAGAAGTGAGATCCTAGTCTATAAGTGTCTTCTTTTGTCCCATCTTTTGTCTGTCTTGTTTTGATTGACATAAGCATATGTAGACTATTCAAATTTAAACTTCATCTCTTGTATGCTTGGCTAATTTCATTCAAACTTGGCACAAAGTATCCTTAATTTATAATGGGATTAAAATTTGTCTAATGGATGACCATGTCCTTTTTTCAAAAGTGGGAAAAAAGAAATGCAAAAACAAATTTCTTCTCTAGAGAGCAGGGTTATAAATACGCCAACATGTAATACTATGCAGGAATACCCTGTGGTAGAGGTTAAGGCATATAGTGTTTGTCTTGTCTGTTTTCCATCCTTCCATCCCTCCATCCTTCCATCCTTCCGTCTGTCCTTCCATCACACTTTGTGTTTAGCTCAGTTCAAAGCTAAGTTTCAAGGAACTATTCAAGATATTTTTATATGATTTAATTTTGTTTGTATTCTAGCCTCTCATTAGCTGATTTCAAAAAAGGAACGCAAATTATTCTGTATAATCTGGTTTTGTATGGGGACACACCCCCTTGACAACCAGCTGAATCATCTCTATCCATGCATTCCCCTCATTTCCAGTCCTTGGGATTCATGAAAGTTCCAAATTTAATAAATGTACCTTTGACTTCAAACAGTAGTTCGATCTTACCTCGTGTAAACAAACATCATGGCTGCTAGGTCTACGTATCAGTTATTACCTCCCCTCGCTTCCCATTACTTCCGTTACTACGGTTGTATTATTGAGCAGCATATTTGAACTCTTAAAAAGCAACACAATTTTATATCCAGAGTTGTTTAATTATTTTAAAATTAAATCTGCTTCGCGGATTATAAAGCGTAAACTGATCCAAACCAGGTTATATCAAATAATTTGGCCAAGAATTAGAGTCAATCCTTAAAAAAACTTGACCTCACTTTTCTTGAGTTAGTGTTTAGCTCAGTGTGAATTTTATGGCTAATCCTTTCTAAAACATTTAATCCCATTATTTCGGACACTCAGAGAGGTTAAGAATCATCAAATCTTGTAAGTTGATGCATCTTGGGGTCTCATAACATATTTATGAAAAAGTAGGTCACTGTGACCTACTTTTTGAATTTTGCAGGCATTTGTTTTCAAATTGTTTAAAAGGCATATTTTGAAACTTTTAGACCTTATAATGATCACCAAACTTTGTCAGTAGATGCATCTTGGAACTTTGGAAAACATCAACCAAAATGAAGGTCACATTGAACTACTTTTGACATTATATGCATGGCTTTATTATACCCCCCGCAAACGAAGTTTGGGGGTGTATATTGGAATCAGCTTGTCCGTCTGTCCGTCTGTCTGTGCAAACATGTCCGGCCCATATCTTTCTTATGGTGGAACATTAGAATCTATTACTCCAAACAAAGATTGCTCATGACCTAAGGATGTGCCATGACCTTGACCCAAGGTAATTTGGGGAAGTTCAAGGTCACTGGATGAAATTTCATAATTCGTGTCCGGTCCATATCTTTCTTATGGATAAACTTGGTAGGTTCTCATTTCACACAAAGATTGCTCATGACCTAAGGATGTGTCTTGACCATGACCCAAGGTCATTTGGGGAAGTTCAAGGTCACTGGAAGAAAAATTTCATAATTTGTGTCTGGTTCGTATCTTTTTTATGGATAAACTTGGTAGGTTCCTATTTCACACAAAGATTGCTCATCACCGTAGGGTTTGTCATGACCTTGACCCAAGGTCATTTGGGGAAGTTCAAGGTCACTGGAAGAAAAATTTCATAATTCGTGTCTGGTCCATATTTTTTTTATGGATAAACTTGGTAAGTTCCTATTTCACACAAAGATTTCTCATGACCTTAGGGTGTGTCATGACCATGACTCAAGGTCATTTGGGGAAGTTCAAGGTCGCCGGAAGAAAAAAATTTCATAATTCGTGTCTGGTCCATATTTTTCTTATGGATAAACATGGTAGGTTCTCATTTCACACAAACTTGTGTCATGACCTTGAACCAAGATCTTTTGGGGAAGTTCAAGGTCACTGGAAGAAAAATTTCATAATTTGTGTCCGGTCCATATCTTTTTTATGGATAAACTTGGTAAGTTCCTATTTCACACAAAGATTCTTCATGACGTAAGGGAGTGTCATGACCTTGACCCAAGGTCATCTGTGCAAGTTCAAGGTCACTGAAAGAAAAATTGTATTATTCATGTTTGGTACATATCTTTATTATGGAAAAACTTGAATCTACTACTTCACACAAATATTGCTTATGACCTGAGGTTGTGTCATGACTTTGAACCAAGGTCATTTATGCAAGTTCAAGGTCAATGACAGAAAAAGTTCATAATTCGTGTCTGGTGCATATATTCAGTCTATTTTTTTTATTAGGCTGCACCTTCGTTTCATTTATAAAAGATATAATGAGCAATTACATTTGCACTAAAAAACGTTTTAGCATTTCTCTCTTCTCTTAGATCCATAAAATATTCATGATTTAGCACCTCTGAAAAACCCAGCGGGGGGTATTTTGTCCCGTTTGGACAGTGCTAGTTTAATAAGTATCTCCGGTACTTATTGGCTTAGAATCATCAAACTTTGTCAGTTGATGCATCTTGGGTTTTTTGGAGAATTATGACCTAAATGTAGGTCATTGTGACCTACTTTTGACATTTTATGGCTTTATTTAAGTATCTCTGGTACTTATTGGCTTAGAATCATCAAACTTTGTCAGTTGATGCATCTTGGGTTTTCGAAGAATGTCGACCAAAAAGTAGGTCATGGTGACAAGTACTTAGAATCTTTAATCTTTGTCTATTAATGCATCTTGAGTCCTCAGAAAAACTTCAATCTTAAAGTAGGTCACCGTGACCTACTTATGGTTTCTTTTATAGCTTTCTTAAAATATGTTCAGTTCTAACTGTCTAAGAATCATCAAACTTTGTCAGTTGATGCAACTTGGGTCATAATTAAGGATACATAGAGTTTAAGTCTTCAAATAGATGTGATAGATTGTACAATTTATCAGAAGAGTGATTCAAGGCCCTTGGGTCTCTTGTTTTGGAAAGATGTGCAAGTATCTCAAAATATTAAGACAATTTGAATTTAATCTTTTAGGTGCACATGCATGTGTATAATTTAGTTTGGCGAAAGGATATTAAAAATAACAAGTTGAACAATCAAGTATTTTAATTTACAAAATGGTGTAAGGTACTTATATTACACATCCACGGCATGTTTCTGGACTCAACAGAGACATCCAGAATCCCTTGTTTGTAGATCTCTAAATAAACATGCACGCTTGCTGGGTAACAACTTCACACTTAAACATGCAAAATGGGTCAAAATGGCAGGACTTCCACAACATACATACCCGTAATCTTATATTAAATACAAAATATGTCTCAGTCTAAACAAACAGATAAAAGTCAAATAAGCATTAAATTGTGTTGATAATTTGTATGAATCAAGCCTGTTTTGAACAGAGCCTAATTAATTATTTCTATGGGAATCTTTGTTTAAAGGTAATTTATTGTTTTCATTGTGCAAGTGATAATGAGGGTTTGGCCCTTATATTGTTTGTGAAGACAAGTTTAAAACATTTACGCCAGGTTATCATTCTTTGTGGTAATACCACTGATTGGTATATGCACCACGTTGGCAGATCTATGTGTTGTTTGTTTCTCTCTGTGCAGAATATTAAAATAAAAAATAACATAAAAAGTCCAGATAATTATATATGAAATATTTCTTCCTCTTTTTGAAAAAACAATATTTTTAAATAATAAGATATGTTTATATAGTCAATCTGTTGAGAAAAAGAGGGATTTAATATGTATTAACGAAAGTCGGAATGAGCTTTTTAAAGTTTTATCATAAATCAAAATGGAGGCACCAAACTTCGATGACATTTGATTTCTTGGATTGATTCAACAACGAAATCCATGAAAATTGGTTTTCCACACATTATGATGAAATTACAGTACTGGTATATGTATGAATAAACTGAACTTCAACAGGAATGTTCATATTTCAGTATAAATCCTTATGAATACCAGATGTAAATTTTATTAATATTTTGCATTTTGTGAATATTTCAGAAGTGGAAAATACAGAGCACATATTTCTTACATATGCAAGTTTAGAAAATGGGGCAGAAAAGCTGAAACATTGTTATTCAGTGAGCTGTAGCCATGCGGAGACTGTGAGAGACAGCAAGGAGGAGCTACTAGAGGTTTTGTAAGTTTAGAGGTTTCATTAATTAGATTTTAGATGGATCTATATTTGTTAATTAAGGTCAAGAATTGATTTCCTTTCTTTACCTGAACATTTTTGATGAAAGTTTTGTTATGTATGACTCACTATTCATTGGACACCTTTGTACTTAACCAATCATGTCCTACCAGCCCAACTTAAATCTCTTTTTGGTGTATATTGGGGGAAATTTGACAAATCATGACTTCTCTTAGATTTTTAAATATTTCATATATTCATGTAAAAGTTTGATGGATCCTAGTAGCAGACGCCCTTTCCATGGGTCTCATGATTTCAGTAAACTTAAATTTACAATATATGTACTACCGGTATGTTGGGAAGCTCTTGCATAAAGAACTATATGCGGTATATTGCATATGTTTGCCCCCACAAAAGTCAAATTTTGAAAACTTCCTGAAATGTGCTGAATTCAATAAATTGTACGAGAAATATAAGTTAACAGAAAATATTATAGTTCCAGAGCAGTGTATTCACAATTTCTGTTTTTATGACGTCACAAACTAGTCCGATTTTATATCCTTTTTCAGAAAGAGGACAAAATGGACAAAATTTCAACAATTTAAGCTTTAGAATTTATAATTGTGTTCTACATTTTCATTGATATTATCCACACATTATATCAAAATATTAATCCTGAACACACATGCGCTTGACTTTTATTTAAAATATCAACGAAATATGTACATTTTTCTGCAAAATTCATAAAAAACTGTTTACGTCATATTTGTGACGTCATTACGTACATATGACGTCATTACTTATGAAATTATTCAGTGCTTTGAAGTCAGCATATACTCCCCTGTTTAAGGACTTAATTAAATATTACTCCATCAAAGTTTGATTTTGGGGGGCAAATGTTGGTTAATACCGCATATAGTTCTTTCTATTCTGGCCAAGTGGTTTTTTGAGAAGATGTTTAAATGACACCACCCAAGTTTTACTTTTTTCTTAATCAAATCTCCTTTGAAAAACAAGTGATCCTTCATTTGAATCAATTTCACCCTAAGATACTCTGTATCAAGTTTGGTTGAAATTGACAAATTGGTTCTGGAGGAGAAAATTCACATTGACAACAGACAAATATTATATTGATTAGAAAAGTTCACTTGAGTCTTTGGCTCAGGCCTCCCATACCATAAACGGAGAACAAATTTAACTCAAAGTTTTGATTTTGAATTTTTTGAGTTTTATTTCTTTTGTGTGCTTTTATTTGCAGGTTTATGTAATATTTTAATTTAAACATATGAGGAAAATTTTGTTTTCTTAATTATTTAAAAAATTATATTGATTTGAACAGATGACTGCACTTACAAATGCGAAATTTGCATTAAAATAAATTTTCGAAACAAACATTGCAGTATTAATCAACTTTGCATAATTAGGGCCCCGCAAGGATTTGCGGGTGCCCTATAGTAATCACTCTGTCTGTCCGTCTGTCATTCTTCCGTCCACAAATTTTCTGTTTTTTTCTAATAACTTTTTTTATGGTTGCCCGATCAGTTCAAATTTGGTATGGTAGTTCAGTAGGCAGAAATGCACATTTTGATGCTAAGTTTGGTTCTCTATGTCTTCTGGTTTGGAGCTGGGGTGGTGGGGTAGATTCCTTAACAATGCATAAGAATGGATGGTGAAAGAGAGGGAACTGCTGAGAATGTTACCATTGTAAACTGGGAAGGCTTTGCAATTTGTCCTTTGGAATTAATTCACCTTCCACATGAAGAAAATCCTAAGCATTATCTTTATCTGTCACATTGAGATCAATTACTGTACCGTCTCTGTCTGCAAATGAACTTTGTTTTGAAGTTAAGGTCAATTTTGAATGATGTGTATACATTCTCTGAAATATGGATTTAAAATAATGTTCATACTTTATTTTCAAATTGGTTAAAATACTGTACACAATGATTTATGATAATTTTATTGAATTCTAAAATCAAGATATATATTAAGATATCCTTTTTATACCCCCCGCAAACGAAGTTTGGGGGGGTATATAGGAATCACCTTGTCCGTCTGTCTGTCTGTCTAGCTGTCCGTCAATTTGTCCTTTGGGATTAATTAACAATCGTGTCCGGTCCATATCTTTCTTACAGAGGGACATTAGAATCTACTACTCCACATTAAGATTGCTCATAACCTAAGGGTGTGTCATGACCTTGACCCAAGGTCATTTGGGGAAGTTCAAGGTCACTGGAAGAAAAATTTCATAGTTCGTGTCCGGTCCATATCTTTCTTATGGATAAACTTGGTAGGTTCTCATTTCACACAAAGATTGCCCATGACCCAAGGGTGTGTCATGACCTTGACACAAGGTCATTTGGGGAAGTTCAAGGTCACTGGGAGAAAAATTTCAAAATTCATGTTTGACACATATCTTTTATGGATAAGCTTGGTAGGTTCTCATTTCACACAAAGATTGCCCATGACCCAAGGGTGTGTCATGACCTTGACCCAAGGTCATTTGTGGAAGTTCAAGGTTACTGGAAGAAAAATTTCATAATTCGTGTCCGGTCTATATCTTTCTTATGGATAAACTTGGTAGGTTTTCATTTCATATAAAGATTGCCCATGACCCAAGGGTGTGTCATGACCTTGACCCAAGGTCATTTGGGGAAGTTCAAGGTCACTGGTAGAAAAATTTAATAATTCGTGTCCGGTCCATATCTTTCTTAAGGATAAACTTGGTAGGTTTTCATTTCATACAAAGATTACCCATGACCCAAGGGTGTGTCATGACCTTGACCCAAGGTCATGTGGGGAAGTTCAAGGTCACTGGAAGAAAAATTTAATAATTCGTGTCCGGTCCATATCTTTCTTATTGATAAACTTGGTAGGTTCTTATTTCACTCAAAGATTGCCCATGACCCAAGGGTGTGTCATGACCTTGACCCAAGGTCATGTGGGGAAGTTCAAGGTCACTGGAAGAAAAATTTTATAATTCGTGTTTGATACATATCTTTATTATACAAAAACTTACTTCTGAAAAACCCAGCGGGGGGTATTTTGTCCCGATTGGACAGTTCTAGTTTATTAATACTATTTTATTTTTTTTTAAAATTATTTACTTGTTTTATTTTATTTTTTGCTGCCTTAATGCTGTTAATTTTAACAGGTAATCAGACAATAACCCCATTCTGTCAGTGCTGAAAAAAGTTCTTATAATATTGTAAATTTAGAAGAAAAGGATGAAAGAGCAGTACAATTTATCCCCTGGGATTAATTATCTTGCTTGTTGCAGAAAATTTAGAGGCTTATCTTTATCTGTCACATGAAGATTAATGAAAACTTTTGTCTGCAACTGATGTTGAGGTACCCTGGGTGATATTTGCATTCACTGAAGGCTTGCATTTTATAAAACACCTGCTTATATCTTTTAAAATACACATTTAATTTAGTTTTTTTACAAGACATGAGGTTTTCCCTGTTTTACTATTTACAGGTTTTTGGACATTCAGGAATTATCTTGAAATTTTAAAAATACAGTTGTTACATATAATCTTCATATATTTTTAAAAAAAAAATGTAATAAAGTAAAACTCTCATTCAATGAACTGCACCCTTATACTAGTATTTCTACCCTTTAGTGGGGCCCTTGCTGACTGGTCAGTTTTCTAGTTACAATAAAAGTAATAGTATGTATTTATGAAGTACGATTCTGTTTTCTAAAGCAGGGGTCCTCACAATTTCTTCAATCTCCGTACAATAATGAGGGCACCCACTTTTATACTGACTTTATGTAGTCGGCACATGTTTGACTATTGTTCTTTTGACAGTACGAAGGCCATTTAAAAAATTACGCAGAATTGTTGCACAGAAAAATGTTTGCCGATAAAATTAAGCAAAATGTCACATAAAATTTTGTAGATTTAATATATCAATTTTGGGTGACTAAACAGGACATATCATTAAGTCACGGTGCAGTAAAATCATGGACGTCTCAGGCATCATAAAAAATAAGAGCTTTCATTTCTCAACATTTTCCCTCAGAGTAAGATCCTGTTTAGTTTTTAGACGGGGTCACGTGACCCCGTCTATTAGTTTACTGTCAGAGACCCTCAAAAAGGAAGCCGTGGTGATAACACATGAATTAAATCTACGCTATATGAAAGAGTGCAGAAATTGTTTTGATCAAAATATAAACATTTTGTATCAAACTGAAGAAAGTGATATGAACTTATTTCTAAATCAAATTAATGAAGCATTTTGTAAATGTAAACTCAAATTATTAATCGTAAAACACATTAGTAAACAAAGTACTCTCCTGCGTAGTATTACGACTGCGTACGCATCATCCATTGTTTACTTCCGGAAAAATATTAATTCGGACCAGGTGAAATTCGGACAATTCAAAGAGGTTTCTAGACTTACCAATTATTGAAATTTCTACTTCAAATTAAATGAAAAAAATGCGATTTTATATTATTCATGATTTTGTTTTTAGCTTGTTAATAAAAAAATTATCAAAACTCGTTACAAAAATCACATTTGTGAAATCTAGCATGAAAACTAATTTGACCCCGTCTTTCAGTACTGTCTCAGTACTTTGATATTACTTTATCAACTCAACTTAAGCATTCATATACCATTTCTTGTCAAGCTTAAAATCTATAAAAACAAGTATAGCATACACTTTTTGTTTTAAACCCTAAAATTGAGGGTATTTATGAGGTACAGTGTGACCTTGGTCACTCTCAATCACATTCGTAACAATCCAGATTAAGTTTACTTCGATCGTCTTCTTCCCTTCCCCTCCTGTATAGCCTTTTACAGAGGTCTAACCATCTAATATTCCAATTTGCTATTTGTAGACAAACGTCGGGACTACCCTGGTCAACTTCATGTTTTTAATATCATGCATATTTTGGTTCTATGTTAGCAATTTCTCGAGTTACACATAATTTGACAAAATTGTGGTGCTCTGTCAATTCTGGAGACGTCATTTCAGCAGCTGTTTTCACAGGAATAGCATCAGAGATAAATCACCATATTTTTGTTAGTACTTCAAATATTACATAAGAAATTTAAATACATGATAATATCATACTGCAGATCAATTTAAAGATACATTTGAGAAAATTGTAGAAAAATATTGAGAATTATAGAAAATAAATGAGTAAAATTTCGAATTTCGCATGTTTGTGTTTCAAATATTTTGTTGTGCTCCTTAACCTCTCCATCAGAGATAACAAAACAACGATATTTTTAAGCGAATTTTTTGAAAATCCAGAAATTTTACCCAAAATTTATTGAAATTTATTGATATTTTTAAGTGAATTTTTTGAAAATTCAGAAATTTTACCCAAAATTTATTGAAATCTTTAAAATACATGTATATATTTCTTTGAAATTTCATAACTTTTGATGTTTGTAAGAGTAAATAATAGAGAATTCCCATAATTTTTAAACAACCCTCGTAGTTATATAATTTTGCTTAAGTAATGTTGTGTTAAAAGGAGATTAATAGACAAACATGCACTCATGGTTTATCGCAAATCTCGCTTGAAAGTATTACACTTCGGCCGAAATATCGTTGCCTTGAGTGATGACATTGTTGGATTTGACAATTGAACAATCTGAATCACGGATTTCATTTTATAAAACAACCTTTTTAATTGGTTGATTAGGACCTGCCGACTCTCGTGCAGTACCCTTTGCCTGTATAAACCATGCTAGCGAATAGCCATGCTTGATTGTCGGAAAGCATTGCTGAACTTTCTGAAGAAAAAAACATATAAAGCAAACAAAATATAAAATAATGTTTAGCATGTGATTTATTCCTTACGCAGACGGTACTTGAATATCGTTCGATGGCGCACAGTATTTCATTTTATCCTACATGTATTTCTGCCGATTTCCTATTTATAGGGCATTTTACATTTATTTTGTTTATAGGTGTTTGTTCTTTGCGACTTTTCAGTGCATTAAAAATCTTTTGTTCTCCATGTTTTAGTCAAAGTGAGCTATTTCATTGCAAATACAAGCAAATTTAAAATGGGGGTAATACTGGAAATCATGCGTCGATTACCCAGCTGATAATGGACCACTTCAGTGAAAAAAATATAAATTCATAGGTGTTAAAACACTAAAAACATCAGATTTATTCAAAGGTTTACTATTTAATTGTCACGACTGTCAAAAATACCATATGTTTTAAATGCATGTGTTCTACTACATACCCATTTCAACCTTCGTCATGGCAATAAACATGCGACCAGAAAAATCTAAATCATTGTGCTTTTTTTCAGGCCGTGCAATTTTTACTGTTACGGCGAATATTATTCATTAAAAATAAGAAATATCACTTATAATTCATGTTAAAAATAAATAATATAACAACATTTACCAAATCTAAGTACATTTATACCGTATAAAATGGGTAGCTATTAAATTCATTCCTTAAGGAATCAAAGAGAGACAACTCAAATCATCATGATTAAGTTGACAGAATTACAGGGGACACGGATTACAGTGTACTACAATGTTGAAGTTCTTACTGGAAGGAAAAAAAAAAGAAGAAATGGTCAAAATCTTGAAAAAAAACGGATATAATTTGAAGAAGACTTCAGTCAGCAATAATTAAGTAAAGCCATTATTAGAAATTATGCGTCCCGTAAGAGTAACTGGGTAATTGACGATGTTTGTATAATTTGTTCATTACTTGTTTGATCCTAATTGAATGATGATCAATTAAAAAGTCCCTTATAATACCAAGGGTTATCAGTACTAATTCTATGCCCTCCAGGTACTTAGCTAAATGGCAGTGAAGTGATAACATTGAAATACTTTCATAATACGATCTTGAAAATTTAGGCGAGGCGTGTTTTACTTCTGTGAAATTTTTATGCGTTTAAATTTTACGTATTTATAAAACTTGTAAAAATTAGTAAAAATTAGCAGCACGTAAAAAATACCCATTATACGGTATATTTCTAAAAATCTTCTCCTCAAGAATAGCAAAGCCATGATTAATGATAAGTGCAGTCATCCCTTTGACTCAAGTCTGTTGTCAGTTTATGGTCTTGCAGCCAGGTAATCTAAAAGAATTTTGCTATTACATAAAAAATGATGAGGAACTGAGAGATGCGAATTGCATTTTAATAGCAAAATATCAAAAGATGGTATTTAAATATATTAGCATAAAGGAAAAATTAAGAGTGTTAATGATTGTTAAAGGAACATATAATTGTAAATTCCAAGGTTGTGCCCATGACATTGGGCACTCTAATTCAAAACAAATGTGCCCATTCCATGTGTCTATAGGGCATACATGTAAAAACAATCATTTGGTTTTAATTCCAAATATTTTTTGGGTACTTTACTGAGAGAATTTATTCACAGCAAAATTCTGATATGGAGGATGGTAGATGATACAGAATTTGAGGAAATGTGGTGGCATCCTGACAAATTCAAGTTTTTCAAATCATAGCTCAAGGGATAGATTGATGTCACACATGGGGGAAATTATATCAGGATAAAAAGTCGACTCAGTAGACATAAAAACTGATTCAACTAAAAAAAAAAAAGAATTTTCAATTACTGGAAGCATAAAATGTAAATTATCACAATTGGTACCTACCATTCAATGAAGCAAATCATGAAATTTTAGCTTTGTGGAATTAAAATGTCAGTATACATTCACAATCATGTTGCATTAATTTAGATTTAGTGAAGTCATTGCACCCTTGTGCAAAGGTGCAAGTAAATTTGGGGTGGGGGGGGGGGTTTCAAAATTTGACATCTTAAAAACTTCAGTCTGAGGTGACACAGATGAATAGCATCTTGTTTTGTTTACAAATGAAGTATATCTCTCAAAAAGTAATATTTTATTGTTATACCTTTAAAAATTTGTTCCTATACAAATCTATACGAAAAAAAGTCTAACAATTTTAATGTTATGCTGAGCGGGCATAAAAAAATCGATGTTGGACCGCTGAGTGAGATGTTGGACCACTCGGAGAGATGTTGGACCGCTTACATCACAGAATGGGTGGAGCTTAATCTCATTTTCATTCGTTGGTGTTAATCAGTGACAGACCTTTATATGTTACATCACGGAATACAGTCCAAAAACATGTATGTCAAAAAAAATACAATAAAATGAAAGGTATAACAAAACATTTATTGACAGAGTTCTCGGGCAAAATGCATTTTGTCGGACCCAAGAACCAAACTGTCTGCCCTCGAACTCAGTCAATAAATGTATATTGCTTGTACCATATTTTATTTCTTGTGATAGGGAACAAAATGTGCAATCCTGTGAGGAAATGATATACTCAAGGTCCAGCACAACACATGGTCAGCCCTCCCTGACCCCTCCTGAACTCCAGTCAACCATGATGCAACTGGAGGGAATGCTGGGAAGATTAGAATCGGCCATCAAGGACACTGTCCGCAATCTGGAACAGAAGAAACAGGTCAACAAATAGGACTTGAAAACACTCAAAATATAATTATTTTGATAGTATTTACTTTAGGAGACACTGCTATAAATCCCAAATCATGACAATTGAAGAGGAAGTATTACATAACCTAAAATTAATAGAAAAATAGTTCCCTTTTTAGGTACCTGAGTAAACTTGAGTGATCTATTCTATCTGTTTTCGTCCTTCATCATGTTAAAATTTGAACATTTTCAGCTACTCTGCATTCACTCATCCAATGTCTACTCCTGGGTATTAAACAAACTAACTACATATAACATAGTTATGATGAGGAAGGGTGCCTATTCCATAATTTTGAATTTCATTGCCCCAAGATGAGGGGTTAGGGTGGGGCTATACACATGCATAAATTATATAGTGAAAATATATGAATTCTTTTAAAATCTTCTTCTCTGCTCCTGGGTATTGAACAAACAAACTTAATAAAAAGTTATGACGAGGAAAGGTGTTTCTTCTAAAATTGTGAATTTCATAGCTCCTGGGTCAGGGGTTTTGGTGTTAGGACTGGGCTATATCGATTATATTGTGAAAATTAAGGCAATCCGCATTTTCTTAGAAAATCTTTTTCTGTGCTCCTGGTTATTAAAAAAACTACATAATACAGTATGATGCAATATATATTCGGACAAGATGGCGGCTTGTTTACATTGGATATGAAACTAGGTCAATTTCGACAAGAGACATTTGATGAGTAAAGGTTCTACTTCCAGAATTGAGAATTTCAAGGCCCCTGGGTTGGATAGAGGAGGGAATGGTCTAATTTTACAATAAAACTTGAATATAACAAAGTGATAGTCACTGGGACCTATGAAATTACTTAGCTATATCCATAATTTGTTATATCCATAGAAGGACTTTATAAGGACTTCAATTTATATAGCTGGGGAACGGAGATACTAGTAACTTTTCTGTAATTCACAATATCGTGTTTGTACTTAACAAGTTTTACTATATACTGAAATGAATTTATGCTTTGAAATAAAAAAAATGTGCTCCTCAGTATTGTTCAAATATGATTCCTAGCTATATAAATTTAACGAATTCCTTATATGGATATAACGAATTATAGATATAGCGAAGTAATTTCATAGATCCTAGTGACTATGTTATTCGAGTTTTATTGTATAATTAGACCATTCCCTCCTCTATCGTACCCCGGACCCAGGGGCCTTGAGCAAGGGTGCCTTTTTCAAAATTTTAAAATGGATGGACCCATGGTCGGGGTGGGGCACTACTGATTTTTGCTGAATATTACTGATTAGTTGAAATGCATTATTTTGTTCTCCTACTCTGTCTATGGGTATTAAGTAACCAAAGTAAGCATGCTTAGTGTATATAGTGAAGATAAGCAATGCTGCCTCTTTCAAAATTGTGAATGTCATGGCCTCTGGTTTTAAATATAAACCAAAATCAATGGTTGGAAAGTTGATACATGATGCTCAGATGACCTATTAGGCCCAAAGGCATCTTTTTTTTAAGCTTTTCTTTTTCAAGAAAATTTCTTGATTAAATTATAAAAATGCAGTATTATGTCTTAGGCCTATATCCTAGGAGGAAACATTACATTATTAAAAAATCATGAGATTATAACAGCAGTGAAAAGCAGAAAATCTTGAAAATATTATTTGAACATTTGTTGAGGTTTACTCAAGTGAAAATTAATAGACGAATTTCACATTCCTAAGAGTTATCTCCCATTGTCGGTATAACGGTCATTTTTCCTAGTTTGTCCTTTGTAAGTTACCTAATAATATTTTTAATCTTCAAACGTTTTCTGACAATTTCAATCTATACCTGTATTGCCAGAGTATGGGGCAACATGAAAAACATAATGGACATATTCATACAGATTTTATTTCTAAGATACCTGACCCATAAGGTTGGTATTAACAGTGCCTGGTTGACCCCACAAGGGGAATAACTTTTGTAAATGTGAAAGTTGTTTATTAAAATTGCTTAGTAAAAAGAAATTACCTAAAAAATCTTTAATGAAGTTGAATAACTCTCCTTGATATGTATTAGCATATAATGTTTGACAAAAATATCTTCATTTATTTTTTGTAAATAATCTGTGTTATTTTCAATGCATCACTGATGTTTTTTGCTAGTGATTTGAACATATCCCAAATATCTACAGTTTGATTTATTTTTACAGAATTTAAGCCATATTTGAAGATACACTGTATTAAGTTTCACATTTATTCTATTTCTCTAGAATTTTCTTTTAATGAATATTTTTGTTTGTTTCAGATTTTGAAGAGTGATCCTCTTTTATACAAGGAGAGAAAGCTGTTTATGTACTTTTTCACCAACCCTGCCTGCTTAAGACAGTTATTTGATGAAATGTCATCTCGACTACAGGCTCAAAAATTACAATGACATGAAATTTTCTTACAAAAATAAAATAATGTTTTGTTATACACTCTAATGCTTGTTGTCTTCTGGAATTAAGGTCCAAAGTGCTACTTTCTGGGCACCAGGATTTTATTTGCCAATCTATGATATGACATATTATTGTATGGAGATGTATGGCCTTCTGTGTTTTTTAATACCCTGTTCATACAGAGAGTTTAATTTGAACTAAACGTAAACTACTGTTCTATCATACCCCCGACCCAAGGGTTACAATAGCACTCATCAGGGACAGATTATTTATTTCCTGCCCAGTCATGGACAGATTACCTATTTTTGAGGACAGATTATTAATTTCAAAAATCTGCCAGAACCCCCAGAATAAAATGATTGTCCCCTTTAGTAAAAAAAAAGAAAAGCGAGGAAACTTGTGTGAATCACTATTATTAAAAATATGTACAAAATATATGACATGTCAAATGACTCTACTCTGCATTAGGTGACATGATTCGAAAATGGCATCATACGAGGGTTGATCCAAAGGTAATGTCATTGTGTTCATATTTTTTTTTTATATCTGGCGTCATATTATCAAAATATAATGTTCCAAAAGATGCATAAAAATAAATCTAGTCAAAATTGAAAATTTCATTAAATAATGTTTAATTGAATTAATTTTATAGACATTTAAAACATTCAACATAAGGGGTGTCGCCGCGTCACAACTAAACCATAGGCGTTTGGTTTCAGGATGGTGTATTTTGTGTATTATGTGTTTTTAGCTCTACTGGTCAGAGACCAGAAGAGCTTATGCGATAGTAATGCGTCCGTCGTCCGTCCGTCTGTCTGTCTGTCTGTCTGTCTGTCTGTCTGTCCGTCTGTCTGTCTGTCTGTCTGTCTGTAAACAATTTTTCAAAATGCTACTCCTCCTACAGTTTTGGTCCGATTTCAATATAACTTGGCACACAAGTAGACTACACTAAGATACATAATTTTGTGCATCGGTTTTTGATTTTGATGAACGGTGTTGCCGTGGTTACTAAAAATAGAAATTTCTGTGAAATTCTTTCAAAATGCTACTCCTCCTACAGTTTTGGTCAGATTTCAATATAACTTGGCACAAAAGTAGACTACACTAAGATACATAATTCTGTGCATCGGTTTTTTGATTTTGATGAACGGTGTTGCCGTGGTTACTAAAATTAGAAATTTATTTGAAATTCTTTCAAAATGCTACTCCTCCTACAGTTTTGGTCCAATTTCAATATTACTTGGCACACAAGTAGACTACACTAAAATACATAATTCTGTGCATCGGTTTTTGATTTCGATGAACGGTGTTGCCGTGGTTACTAAAAATAGAAATTTCTTTTCTTTCAAAATGCTACTCCTGCTACAGATTTGGTCCGATTTCAGTATAACTTGGCACACAAGTAGACTACACTAAGATGCATAATTTTGTGCATCGGTTTTTGATTTCGATAAACGGTGTTGCCGTGGTTACTAAAAATAGAAATTTCTGTGAAATTCTTTCAAAATGCTACTCCTAGTACAGTTTTGGTCCAATTTCATTATAACTTGGCACACAAGTAGACTACACTAAGATACATAATTCTGTGCATCGGTTTTTGATTTCGTTGAACGGTGTTGCCTTGGTTACTAAAAATAGAAATTTCTTTGAAATTCTTTCAAAATGCTACTCCTCCTACAGATTTGGTCCGATTTCAGTATAACTTGGCACACAAGTAGACTACACTAAGATACATAATTCTGTGCATCGGTTTTTGATTTCGATGAACGGTGTTGCCGTGGTTACTAAAAATAGAAATTGCTGTGAAATTCTTTCAAAATGCTACTCCTCCTACAGTTTTGGTCTCATTTTGATATAACTTGGCATACAAGTAGACTACACTAAGATACATAATTCTATGCATCGGTTTTTGATTTCAATGAACAATGTTGCCATGGTTACTAAAAATAGAAATTTCTGTGAAATTCTTTCAAAATGCTACTCCTCCTGCAGTTTTGGTCTGATTTCAGTATAACTTGGCACACAAGTAGACTATACTAAGATACATAATTCTGTGCATTGGTTTTTATTTTGATGAGTGGCAAGGATCATTTTTCTATTTATTGCTGATTTAAAGTCTCAAGTCCCAACTGCTACTTTTCTCTTCCTTTGTTTTAAGTATAAACCAGTAGAGCTACAGTCTCAACAGAGACTTCTGGTTCTAGGTGTGTCTGAATAAAAATAAAAATTCGCTGAAATTAGCACGTTTTAAAAATGTCATATTTATTATATATAAAAAGCTACAGTAAATATGACATTTTTAAAACGTGCTAATTTCAGCAAATATTTTTTTTTTAAATTTGATGAGGGTATTCAGACACACCTAGAAAAACACATAATACACAATACACCATACTGAAACCAAACGCCTATGAACTAAACGTCACGTTTTAAAGTGCATATTATTAGAATGAAAAAAGACAAACACATTAAAAAGCATCTAAAAAACGTCTAATTGCCCAATATTTTAAAAGACAAAATTTTACGACATTCTCTAGCCTTTAGTTTAAAATGAAATAACGTAATTGCTTTCTGATGATAAACATTGTTGTTTTAATCTGATGTATTGAACAAAGGTAATGTCGAACAAAGGCGCTTGGTTTCAGGATGGTGTATTTTGTGTATTATGTGTTTTTTCTAGGTGTGTCTGAATACCCTCTTCAAAATAAAAATTCGCTGAAATTAGCACGTTTCAAAAATGTCTTAGTTATTGTATATAAAAAGATCAGTAAATATGACATTTTTAAAACGTGCTAAGAGTGGAGGCGCACAAGGCGAGGACAATCCCCTGCTCTGCGAAAAGACTTCTCAATTCTAAAAATTATATTTTTCAAAATTATATTGTTTATATCATCTTTTACACATTTAATTCTGTATGTCATTGTTTTAATAGTTTCATAATAATTTATTTTTCACTCATGTTTTTAAGGACAGACGAGACGTTCCTTAATAATAGATAAATTTTTCTAAGAGTTTGTCATTGAAGTGTTGCTACTGAAACATGTTTACTCACAAAAAATTGGGGTACCTTACCCGGCATTTCTGCAAGATACCATGGGTAGTTTTTCTTATATAATCCTTTGGGGAAGAAAAATAATTTTCCAATTTCAAATGTTCAAGTGTTTGGATTCTTTAAAAACATCTAGAAACTGGTTTAGAAATCAGAATGTTATGAAAATTTTGAATATTTTTCATACATTACGAAGATATACAAAACAGATTTTGAGGAACGTCTCGTCTGACCTTAAGATATGTGAAAACTAAAAAGAAAAAGCTTCATGTATGATTCGAACTCTCTCCGTAGCGCAGGATTTGGCCCAAGACCGACCGCTTTAACCACTACGCTACGAAGTATAGGCCTTATCGACGTCTGTCAGTGTGATTTAAACGAACGGGTTTGTTGAAGCGTACGTTTTTCATTCAATCAATCTTTATTTCCCCCTTTCGGATATTTCATGATCATACAAATTAAATCTTACAATACATAAAGAACATCAAGAAAATAATAACATATATATATGTCACAGAAACGAGAAAGGAAAAAAAAAATACAGAAAAAAAGGGGAAAAAAATCATATATTCTTGCCTTTAGTGGACATTTTCCACATTTTGAGTAGCCCTGCCATAATAGGCAGTGGCACTACACACAAATTTTGAACTTATACGAATAAATTCCTTATATTCATTTTCATCTGTTAAAGAGGCTGGTTCGAGCCCTCCCAGCAATGATATATATAACAAGTCATCACTTAGCTGAGAGAGCTCTACGTACAAATGTACATTAAAATTATCTACTATGTCGTCAAAAAAAGCATTTCTGATATGGATAGTGAATGGACACCACAGCACAGCATGTTGGAATGGATTACTATACACATCTTTACATAAACTGCAGGTTTTAACGAATTAAGAGGAAGGTGGGATAGTTCAGAGCTTGGCGAGAAATTTTATGTATGGAACATCATCGAACGAAAAGTTGAATTTCCAAATTTTGATAGGTTCAACGCTGTTATGAAGGGTTCTGAAGTCTGGGTCTGCTTCCATGCGGATTTTCCAAGCCTCAGTCTGGAAGTGATGAATCGCCTTCTTGACAATAACTTTCCACTTTACTGTTCCATTTTCAGTAAACTGCTGAAGATATACTGTATTAAATTGTATTTCATCAATATTTCGAACAAATCCTTCAGAAAACCAGAAAAGTATTTCATGTTGTTCTGTGGGGTGTACCTCAAGCATATACTTTCGCACATATCTGATCTTGTAGAAATTTTAAGATCCTGTATATCTGTGATCACAAAATGCTGAAATTTATTTAGGAGATATAAGTCCGCTTGTTTTAAATCGTTCCACAGTTCACATCCATATAAAACAGTAGGAAACAATTTTCCTGTAAAGACTAACAAGGGTTAACGGGTTGGTGTTACTTGACAGATCATTACGTATCGCAAGTATGCTTTTCTGCGCTTGTTGCAGCTATTAGTTGTTCGGCCACTGGATTTAAATTGACAATGTTGAATGATTCCTAAATGTGTATAGGTGTCACTTGAAGGAATGTTTTCATCACCTAATTTCCAAACTTGCTGTGCTGTGGGCTTGTCCTTACCAAAAACAACAATACATGATTTTTGCGCATTAAATGAAAAGCGCCATAAACAAGAATACTTGTATGCAATGTTCAACATTTTTTGTAATCCATTCGGACTTAAGAAACCTTTCTACACTGCACACTAAAGAGTTCTGATTCTAAGGTATTTTTCTGCAGTTAGAATGATCTGCCCTTAGAACTAAATTCTAAAAAATAGAAATTTACACAATATTATTCAATTTGTAATTAATTCAAGTATTCTCAGCATTTTAAAAGGCCAGGATAAATTAACTGAACGTGTTATTTACATGCATTTTCTCTACTGAAGTAATTAACAGCGATATCTATTCACTGATACTGTGTTGTCTTTGAACATTTTTCCCGGGGGTAAATGCCACGCACCATACATTGAAAATTAGAT